ACTTTTTTAAATTACAGCTAACATCTTTAATTTTACCTGTATTTTGTTTTCTTTATTTATTTTTATTTCTAAAATCTCTTCAGTTTATTTTTATATATTCATTTTTTAAACCATTTAATAGTTCTATAACTAAATTACCAATTTTACTATATTATGATCAATTTTCTTATAAATCAAAAGTTACATATTTAAAAAAATATTTATCCTTCATTCTTTTTAGTTTTTTACAAATACAGTATATTAGTCTTATTTTTTTTTGTTTTATTTATTATATTTCTTTAACTTTATTTTAATATAATATTTTCTTTTTTTCTATCTTTAAATCTTCTGATTTTTTATTAATAATTGAAAAAATGTATTTGTAACAGCCTGTTACATTACTTACATATCTTATTTATAACATCCTTTTTTCATTTTTTTTTTAATAATAAATTTAATACATGTTTCACAAATAAAATTTTTATATGCAAAATTTAATTTGGAAAACTTTTACTTAATGTACTTAAGACAGTTTCATAGACAAAATTTTAAGTTATAAGCAGTTTCTTGAAATTTTTTAAAAAATTTTTTTGTCTTAGTTACACAACTGATCTTTTGTTTTTGTTTACATTACGCCTGATCTTAAATTTTAATTGGATAAAATTGGAGTTGTTACAAATAAGATGCGTAACAGGCTGTTACAATTAGATTTATCCTTAATAATTAATATAATATATTTTCTTTTTTTTTTTTATTATATTGTATTTATTACAATTTGTTCATTTTATTTTATTCATATATTTCATTTTAATATCCTTTTATTTTTTTGTTTCTCTATTTAATTATAATATTTTTATTTTTATTTCCTATTCTATAATATGTCTTTTCTTATTACAAATTGTTTAGTATTATTATTATTACATTATTAAAAATGGACTCTTTCTGGTAGATCTCACATCCAAAAAACTTCCCAAAAATAATTTTAAAAAAAAGTGACTTTGTCACTAAACCACATAAGAAAAATACATTTTTGCTTGCCAAAATAGAACTCTTGATTTTTAGTCTACAATATTCAGAAAAACTCCAGAGTTTTTTGAGAAAATATTGGTTTCTTTCTTTTGTTTTGCTGGCTGTAGTAATAGTATTAGACTAGTTATATCAAAAGTGTTTTTTTACTGCATAGAAGGACTTGGGTTACTTATACGGAAAAGTAAACTAAAAGAACATACTAGAAACATAGTTATTAACAATAGTTAAAAACAGTTTCCGCAATTTTTATTATACAAATTTTTCAACTTTCACTTATCAAACAATTTTAATATAATAAAATTTATTAATTTCAATAAGTAATTTTTAATTTAATAATTACATTTTTTTATTATATTATTATTACTATTTTTTTATTTTCATTTCACTTAAAGTTATTAGAGGGTTTTGGCAAGTTAATAAATTGTTGAAATAGCAAATTTTACCAAAAAAAGTCTTATTAAAAAGTTGGTAAAACTCTGAAAAAAATAACAAAACTTATTATAATTGCTAAAATCTTACCAAAACTATAATTATTTACAATTATTTTGCTTTATTTTATTTTTATTTTACCATCTTTTCACTATTTTTTCACTTCTATTTTTACTATTTTTTTGCCATATTTTTACCTTTATTTTTGCCATTTTTTTTTCATCTTTTTGCTTCTATTTTACCATCATTTTTATTATTATTTAGCTTCAATTTTACTATTTTATTTTACTATTATATTATTTTACTATTATTTTACCTTTATTCCATTATATTTTTGCCATCTTTTTACTTTTATTTTTACTATTATTTTTTTTAATCTTTACTATTTTTACTATACGGCCTTTTTATATAATTGTAATTAGTATTATAGCAGATTATGACAAAATCAAAATATATTAAAAAAAGAATATGTAAAGTTTTGTCGATACTTGTTTAATAAAAATTTAATGTTGTCATATTACTATGTATTTTTGATATACATTGTACTGTAAATTTAATATAAATACTTATGTAATAATAGGGATTAAATTAAATTTTCTTATGCTAATTGCATAAAAATTTGGCAATTTTTGGTTTAAAAAAAATTTTTATCATAAAAAATATAATTTAACTATAAAAATCAAAATTATGTAATTTTCTCAAAAACCATTTGAAAAATTACCTTTTTTAACTTAATAAAACCTTTTTTTTTCATAAATTTACATATAATTTTATTTTTAGATTACTATACAAGTCAATATTTTAATTAAAAATTAAAATAAAGGGATAGGAAAATAAAATTCCTTCTGGTTAAATTTAGTAATTCTTATTACATAAAGTATAAAAACCCACTTACTTATAAAATAGATTACCTAAAATTTATAATTAAGAATTTTTAAAGATTTTATTATATATAGATAAATTTATACATCTAAAAAAAAAATATTACACTAAGTTATTATGATTTTTTTCCTTTTTAGATCAATTAACCAATAGGATTGCTAATAAATTACTAGTAAATTTAGTAAATTTGAAATTTTTTTCAGAGACTTCTATTAGGAATAAGTAGAATTCTAAAGTAATAATAAATTAAAATTTTAAATTTAAAATTTTTTATGTATAAATAAAATTAATAAACCAAATTTTTTATTTTTTTGTAAAAAATATTTTGCTTTTTATAAATATTATTCAATAACTTTTTTTTTTTTTTGTAGAAAAAATATAAATTATTGTTTGAAATTTTTAATTTTATTATAGGAGAAATTTATAAATAAGATTTTAATAATAAAAAATTTTTAAGTTCCAGAATAATTAATAAAAATGAAGACTGTAAAAATGTATTTAATAAATCTAATCCTTAATCTAACTCTAATTCTAACTTTTAATTCTAATAAATATTAAGGAAAGTGAATTTCCTTTCCAGTTAAATATAATTATTTTCTTAGAGGATGGCCAGAAATGACGTAATTTAAATTTTAGGATTTTTGATCCCCCCTCCCTATGTCATCATTCATTTTAGGAAATGATACAATTCTGGCTAGAATTATATTAACTACAAGTGTCTAAAAATGGAAGGTGTATAACATCATCATGGTCCCCCTTTAGGAAATGACGTCATTTTTAGCCATCCCCTTATTAATTTATATGATTTTAATATTTTTTGTAAATTTTTTTTTATAATTTTATTAATTTATATTTATTTGCATAAATACTTACTTATAAAAAATATCTGTTGATAGATATAATATTTTTAATTAATAAAAAAAAAATAGCATTTTCAAAAGTGTATTGTCAAGTTATTTTATATTACATATTTACATTATTTAAAATGTAAAAGTATTTTTACTTTTAATTTTTTTACAAATTACAGTCAAACCTTGATATAGTGAACTCTTGATATAGTGAATTTTTCAGACAACTATAATAAATTTCCCCTTGCTATAATGAATTAACCAATCAAATCTCTTAAAATCTTCACTATAGCCCTATAGCGAAGTTGAGGTCTGGAACCTAGGGTTCGTTATAACAAGAGTTGACTGTATACAATTCTATAAATAATATTTTTTTCCAAATTTTAAAGTATCAAAAATTAGATATTTTATTATTTTTTTAAGTTAATGTAAAAAAAAACAACTTACCATTCATTGTACATTATATAGTTAGAGGGATTTTTATAAAAAAATTATTGTATTAAATTGAACTATATATAATTTCAGTTAATAATTTTTTAAGTTTACTTTAAGTTTATATATTTGATAATATAGATAAGGTATAAAAAAAGCACTATTATTACTATAATAACAGGGTTGAAAGGAGATTGTAAATGATATAAGTTGATAAAAGGAACTTCTTAAAGCTTATCTCTTATACTACAAAAAATTGAATAAAAATTTCTCATTATTACATGCTGAACTAGGTCTTTTAAAGCAATTACTATTATTCTCTTTTTTTTGTGTTTGAAAGTTATCTCTTATCTTAAAGAAGAACAATATTTAAAATGGTCAATCATCCGCACAACCAATCTCTTGTTATCTATTTGTCTTGTTAATCCGGAATTTACTCCAAATGACAAGAAAGAAGGTATCATCAATAGCTATATAAAATGATGGAATTATTATAGAGCATATGAAAGTGTTTTTTTTCATATGAGAATATGTACCATAAATATTGGTCTTAAATTGAATATTATAATTTATAGTTGTAAAATGAACTTCTTTTGAGAACATATTTATATTTTCTTTAGGATTATAAGATTATACTCCGGAACTGAAATAACTGAAATCATGTAACTATGAACCATAATAGTTCACATGTTCAGTTGATCTAAACTAACCATATTTGGAATCAGAGAACTTCGCGAATATTATTCTAATTACTGTATATTAAATTAAGAAATTAAAACGCAACACTTATTTATTAGGATTGAATATTATTTTATTTCTGTTCGTCTATACTGTCTATATGTCAGTAAGCATAATAAATCAAAAAATCGCAGCAAAAACAAAACAATATAAACCAATTAATGATCTAAGAGAGAAACGTATTATAAAAAAAATAATTAGTTAACGACTATATTTTCTCGAACAAGACACCATTTATTGCCAGAAAGATGATAAGTTGCATGCATCATCTGCGATTATAGATTAGATGAAGGGAATCGAAATCTGGGCTAGAAACCTTTCTTGTCGTTAAATCAAATCTATTTTTGGCCAAAAAAACTTTTTTAAGAAATTTATAACATATATATATATGCAGTTTTTTTTCACTTGTCTGTTTAGTGTCTTCTCACTCTAAATACAAATCCGAATAAACTGTTCAGTAAATATATATGCTTATATGCTCCTTCTGGGGCAAAATTTAGATCCTTCGCATTTTCGAAAAATTTTAAACTTCCCACCTCGATTTTTTTTTTTTAAGATAAATAATTAAGTTAAAACTTCATCTCGAAGAAACTAAATTTATTATTATTTTCGCTTGACCAAGGGGCACCTTTATTATTATCTTTTTTTTCTAAAATATATATTATATTTATATATATTAAGAAATGTCATCAAATAAAAGGTCCCCAAACGGTTACATTGTCTTTTACAAATTTTATAAAAAAATGTTAGTAAAAGATTATCCGAATTTATCACCGCAAGAAAGAATGGCGAAAGCTGGCGAGTTATGGAGATCCTTGCCCAACGAATTGAAAAATTCCTTCATTGAATATGCAAATGATTATAGAATTTTGAATTCAATTCAACCAACATCATCAGTAATTCCCGAACTTCCATTGGAAAAAAAGAAAGATTTGGGATTAGTAATGATTTTTGACGATCTGAGTTCTAATTCAAAGAAGCAAAAGCTTTTAAAAAAATCTAAAATCTAATTCGTTTCTAAGCCAACTTAAGTTTTAAACATAAGATTTTTTTTATGAATTAAAATAAGAATTAAGATTAATAAATTCAATTGAATTTTCTTTTAAAACAATTAAATTTGTACATTATGATTTAAATTAACCACTAAATCTTTCATAGATCAACCATTCATACGGAAACATCATCAAATAAGGATGTGAATCCTGATCAATTAAAGTCGGCTTAAACAACATTTCCAGGAACGAACTTTTTTAAAAATAATTGTTACGTAATGATAATATTTGTATAACACTTACGTAAATATCATTGAGGAATGTTTGCTGCAGAATTAAATAATGGAAACTTACACGCCACACAAATCATTTCCGGAAACAGTTATGAATCAATCCTAATTATGTCATTCCAATTTTTGATTGTTTCTATTTTTGATGCTCTCTCAGACTCTCACTGAAAATATTCTACGTTTACTTTGATTGATTTATATTAAACTCTCCCTCTTAATTTTTTAAACCCGATGGTTTATCTCCATTATCGTTACAATAAATAAGTATCATCTTTATTAAGAAGATTTAAAAAGACCCAATTTTATCACCACAAGAAATAATGACAAAAACCAGCGAAAATTTCTTTCAATGAATACATAAACGATTATAGAATTCTAAATTCAATCCAATCAGGTAATCATTCCCGCCCGTACCTTTCACGAAAGATAATCTGAATCGGAAAATCAGTTATTGATCAGAAGAACAAATAATAGGTTTTAGTTCAATATCAAATTCTGTCAATCCAACAATATCTCATCTCTTTTAAAGATTTTATTTTATTTTAAGCAATGAGAATATATTTATAAATTTTTTACTTATTTAATAATATCGTTGTAATTAATACTTTCACTAATTACGTCAATTTATCAATTAATTACGCCAAATGGAGTTTTATAATATAATTTATTAAACTAGGAAATGGAAACCAATATAAGCCCAGAGCAAAAAAAAATCAAAATTCTAATAATAATAAAACGCGATAGATTGATTTTGAAGTGATCTTACTGCATATACGCATATACCCGTGTGATGTTCGTTAAAAACTTTGTGAAACTCTCAGAAATAACTTACCTAGCGTCACCTAGAAAAAATGGTAGCCGGATAGGTTTGCTGGCTACACGTGATTCGGAAACTGATTTCCGGTTACATTAATTGATTATAAATCAATTTTTACCTTTTTACCTTTTCATCAATATCTTTCTGTAATAATACTTACTTCGGAAGGTGATGGCTATTCATGGGTTTATCGGAATAAAAATCAAAGAAAAGACTCTCTTCATATATTATATTATTGCAATTGTCGAATTGAACTTGGAAAACGGCAAGTAAAGCATCCTATATTAGATAAACAAAGAGACACATCTACCTATTTATAACGGTACCATTGTGAAGGAACAATAAATATAGAAATCTTATCAAAACTGGACTTAATCAAAGTTTAAAAATATTCTCATAAAATGTTACATCCACGACCAAGACATGTTAATACTATGTATAAATTTCATATACAGATGCATTTTTAATCTTTACTAATGTCAAAATAATTTTTTTAGGCTAAAGAATTGTTAAAAGAATCATATAACAAACCAAAACGACATCTATGGTTAAAAAATGTTTGCAAAATTTCAGATTGTTGGAAAAGGTGAATAATTAAAAAACGTGGCAAAATCGTTAATAAAACGACAATTTTATGGCAAAAATACCCTTGTCTACGCCTCCTTTACTTCGCCTTTCATTGGTAATATTGGTAATAATATGAAACAGTGTAATCATGAAATAATTTGAAATACGTGTTACTATAGAAAAAGTTTCTTATTATAAACACTTGAGGAAGAGGAGAGAAATTTCTGATCAAACAAAATAACAAACAACAAATTAAATAGATATTAAAGCACTAGAAAACTGTTGAACAATGCCAAAAATATGGAAAAACTTTAACAAAATTACAATGTATTGGGAATAAATAAAATAAATAATATCATAGCAATAAATAAATTTTCAGCAATTTTCTTAAAATACTTAAATATTTACTATATTAATTTATTCAGTTATTTATCGAAGTTTTTTTACTACGTTATAATAAAAATTAACAAGCTAACCCAGAAATCAGTTTCCGAATCACGTGTAACCCGGAAAACCTATCCGGCTACCATTTTTTCTAGGCGACGCTAGGGTGGTTTCTCAGAAATAGTGTTTACACGTGATTATAATGGTACAATTTTATTGGATTGGACAGGGAACATCTCACGTAACATAATTTTTCCGTATGAAATATTTTTTTCAAGAATCGTGTAGTCACTTTATTGAAAAGTAATTTCATATAAATACAAAATTAAACTATTCTGTAGTGCTACCCATCCCAGTTAATAGAAAGATGTGACTGATGAAATTCTATTTCTCTAAATTTTCAGAATTTAGGATACATAAAATAATTAATTAACCATACCAATAAAATAAGAAATTAGTAAAAATTAATTAAAAACAATACAAATAAACAAAAATAAAATTTTTAAAATAAAACTTTAATATTCCAAACTAATAATCAAAGTAAAAAATCTGCTCTATATTTACAAATAGATGAAATAACTTTTCAAGAACTGGATTGCATATTAACTAATAGGAAAAAGTTGGATAAATATTATCTAGTATAATAAAATAATTTAATAAAAAACTTTTATCTATGAGTGTAAATAAATAATTATTAAAAGAATAAGAATACCATTTATTACTATAGACCAATATTATATAATTAAATTGTAATTATGTAATTTTTAATAACTTTTATTAGTTAATTTTTCAATTTTTATTATCATAGTAATTAATATATATAATTTAATTTAATTAATAAATTTTTAAAGAATAATTTATTCTTTATTTAGATAGATGAAATTTGATATTATTTTATTAAAAATATTAAAAATGGTATTTATAACTTTTGTTAAGATTTTAAATTTATAAAGTACTAGGTAAAATTATTTATAAATTAAAATATAAAGTTATATTAAGTTTTATTTTAGTATTCTAGAATTAGTAAATAATTATTATAATATACAGTATTTATATATTAAATTTAGATAAAGTAAATAATATTATAAAATATAAAATTTTATTATTATAATAATATTAAAATTAAAAATTAATACTTTAAAAATTTAAAGAATAAAAATGTAATAGTGGGTCTGGTTCACATTACCGACAATCATATTACCAACAATCATTTTACTGACATTCACTTTACCGACAGGTACGTTTTACTGACAAAATAATAATATAATTTTAAGTAAGTAATAAAATAAAGTAATATAGAAATAGTTATTTATTTATTTTGTTATTGTTTATTTATTATTGTTTAAAATAAAACTTTTATTAGTTTATTATTTATTATTAATTAAAATAATATACAATACATTATTATATTCAATTAGTTACAAAAAAAGCAAATTATATAAACTAAATTAAGAAAATTTTTAAGACCAATTTTAAGTATAATATATTATGAAGCTGAAATAAATTTTTTAAAAAATAAAATTGATAAAATTAAATATTAAATTCAAGTTATTTTATTATATATAAATATCATAGTATTTTACATTTTGTTATATATTAATCAATTTTTTATTTATATATTATGGTAAATTCTTTTATATTAAATATGTATTATAATTTTCATACTGAAGTGGGTAGTGAAATAGTAATAAATACTATAAGTGTTGATAGTAAAATGAGTGTCAGTAAAATGTACCTGTTGGTAAAATGATTGTTAGTAATATGAGTGTCGATAAAATGATTGTCGGTAATATGAACGGGTCCCTGTAATAATTTTCTAGATAAAAAAAAAATAGTTTAGTAATATTAAATTAAATAAATTTATATGGTATTTTCAATTTAATGGTATTATTATTAATTTAATTTTATAAATTAAAAATTATTAGTAGTAATTATTAATATAATATATAAAAATAATAAATAAAATTTTATTTACTAAAAATTCTAAATTTTTAAAATAATAATAATAATATGAAAATAGAGATTTTTTTAATGTATATATAGTATAATTTATTGATTTTTTTTAAGAATTAATTCACATTTTATTAAATGAATAAAGGTAAATATATAATATACTAAGCTATTACAAAAATAAAATTCCTAAACAAGTTGATTTAGTTATATTTTGATAAATTAATTACATAAAATCATAATTATTAAATATTAAAGATTGAAATATAAAATAAAAATAAAAATAAAATAATATAATAGTCAGTAGTTATTTCAGATCACTTGCTGATTATTAATTAAAATAATTTTGTGTAACTATAATTAAATATTTCATCATATAGCTAAAAAAAGAAATTCTTAATACAATGCTTATACAAATTAAGTAAATTAATAGTTTGTCATATGTATTATAAATTTTCATTATCATTTCCCCTTTAGTAATAATAATTTTTTTTTTTGCATATACAAGAAAGTTTGTTTTAAAAATGAAGTTTTCCTTCAGATGTAACTTAAAAGTAGATGTGAAATACAGTTTAAAAATATATGTAATTTTACAAGAAGAAAAAGATTTACTAAGTTGAAAAAGATAGTTATTTAAGTAGTTTTTGTGTAAACCGCAAAAAGTCAATTTTTATAATAAAAAAAATTTTTTTTGATTTCAATAAAACTTTTAGCAAAAGCTTTTTTTAAAGGGAGAGTGTAATCACATGACTTTTAATTGACTATCATGGTGCAAAAATTTTTTTGTGCTATTCAGAACGTTCATGTCTAATAAAACATTTGTAAATTACTAAATATTAAAAAAAATATATTATTTTCTTACCTTTTGGAACCTGAAAATTTACCAAGTATAGTTTTTATTTAGACTTAAATATTATATTTTGGAGAAAATATCAAAAGAAGTTCCAAAAAGGTTGCGAATAGCTTAGTGAAAGTTTAGAATCTCTCTACTTGAAAACAGGACCCAGACATCACATATATAACTCATAACTGATCTGCATGAATTTAGCACTTTTTCTTCTGCTAAAATAGACCTAATTTGCTAAAAATCAAATTATCACATTTTAAATCTATACTAATTTGCTAAAACTCAAAATATGAGTATAACTTTTTAGCAAATTGGCCTAAATTTCAAAAAAAATCACATTTTTTGCGATTATCTCGGCATTCAGTAGTCCAATTTATGCGAACTTTTTTTGTTTTGTAGCCCTTATCGAGCTCTACAAATTAAAAAAAATCCGCATAAATCGGATTACTGGATGCTGACATAATCGCAAAAAACTGAAAATAAAAAAAATGTTGCGAAACTAATCGGACAGTTTTGGGCCTGCATTATGCTTAATTTTGGCCAAAATATAACCCGGACCCCGAAACTAATATTTTAAAATATTATCAATAAAAGTTAAAAAAAAAGGATAAGTTAAATTCAAAAAAAAAGTACCAATTTGCTCAAATATAAAATATGACTTTGTAAAATCAACACAATTTGCTAAAACTCATAATTATGACTTTTAATTAATTTTCAATCAATTTGCTCTATCTAAAATTATGAGTTTAACCTAATTTTGATTGAATTTGCTAAAACTCAAATGTGAGTTATATATGTGATGTCCAGAGTCCTTTGAAAACATAATATTATTTGTTAAACTTAGAAGGATAATTATTATACCAGATTTTTTGTTATTTATAAATTTTGTTAAAATATTTAATTAGGACATCAATAAAAATTTTTTTTATTAAAATAATATTATTAGGTCTATTTGGATGTTATTAAAGCTCTGAACAGTTCAGTTCAGTTACATTTTTTGGTTCTTTTCTGATTGATCAGAATCTATTTTGCGCAATAACTTGCCATTCAGTGATTGTAGAAACTATACATGGGGGCGTAATTACCCCTGATATTTCACCAATTCAGCATTACGGCAGCGTAATATATTACATCAACATCGATTCAAACAACCCATGTCAAAATGAATTACACCGCCGTAATGCCAAATTGTCATAATGCCGTAATGCCGAATTATCATAATGCCGTAATGCCGTAATGCCGTAATGCCGTAATGCCGAATAGGATTTGCTGATATTTTTTTTCCATTTGTAGTCATATGTACGACTAACAGAAGTACAGAACTAACTTTAATTTAACAAAGAAAATAAAAATTGCACATGCACAGCCACTCGCTCCATAAAATTTCCGATTGGTTCAGTAAATTTTTTTATTATCGTTATATCTTTTTTTTCCTTAGAAATAACCCAAAAAGTCTTTCATGACTTTACTGCTTATAATTCTTTTAAGTTTCTAGATAACGGTCATAATGGTAAGTTTCTTTACTTTATTTATATTTTTACTATTTTCTATTTTATTTTATTGTATTTTATTTTATCTTATTTTTTTTTCTAGGAACTGACGTGGATTTTCTTCCAGGAACTACTTTGGCAGTTTGGCAAGGACTTTAAAACAGACTTGACTTGGTAAGGTATTTTTTTAAAATTTACTATATAGAAACATTTAATAATGTTTCTCTTCCTTTTTTTTAGATTCTGACCTGAACTGAACGGTATAGCTGTATAAAGGAGGCTGGCTTGGACTTGTGTGTGGAATGAACGGTATAGAGGAGAGGGAGAGGGAGCTTTTTAAAAAAATTTATTATAGAAATGTTGCTAAACATTTCCTTTTCTTCTATATTTAAGGAACAGCTATTACGAACCTTACGAACTGGAATATGTAAGTTTTTGGGAGGGGAGTTCAGAATTCTGTTTAAGAAACATTTATTAATGTTTTCTTTTCTTCTTTATTTAGGAATAGCCATCACAAACCTGACAAACTGTAATGGATAACTCAACAATAGATGTAATGAAATGAACAATTTCCAACGAAAAATTGGCTAGTTGAAGACCATTGGAGTTTTGCCATATATTTAAGTGTCACAATTGATGAAATATTTCTCTATAGTTTAAACTGAGATTTTGACATTTCGCGAAATCCTGATTAGGTTTCGTCAGCCTTACTTGAAACAGTTCTTGAAATTAGGTAGGTTTGATGTGAAGTTAATTAATTTCATTTAGGAATGTTATTTAACGTTCATTTTTTCTCTTTTTTAGTGATAGCACTTTGGTTTCTCTTGAAGTGACCTTTAGTATAAAGTAGGTTGATATTACTTTCCAAGTAAATAGAGAGAAATCCTATAAGACAATAACTTAAAAATTTATACAAAATTGCTAGTATTTTTAGATTTGAGGCTTTTCTTATTTTTACTTGAGATGGTTCAGAAGAGGACCCCGAGCAATACTGAAATAGGTAACAAGAAATAACGCGTAGAATAGGCTAAAATAATTATGAAAATCTTTCCTTTTTTAGATAAATTTTGATAACGTTGGTAAGAAATATATTACTTTATTTAGTAACTGACTGACATCATCATAATTCCGGCCCTGAAAAAATGCGTAGAGCTAATAGTAAAATTTTGCCAATTTCCTATGACCTATTTATATATTGTTCGGGGTCCTTTCATAAGGAAACTTTTTTTTTTTTAAGATATTTTTCGGTGCAACTTTAATTTACAGGTTTGTGTTTTAATAATAAAGTAACCAATTTCCAATTTGTAAAACTTATAAAATTGTATTAAAAATTGGAGTTGCTTGAAGAAAAATATATTTTTTTTTGTAATAAAAATTCAATTGTTATTTATTTAGCTTTATAATTTTTATTTAAAAAATATAAATTTAAGGAATAATTCTTTCATATGATACATTTATTTGAAATTACGGGATGCTTTTTTTTTCAACCTCTATTATTTAATTGGTTAAATTAATCGATTATCATTTACTGAAATCAAAAAAAAAATCAAAAAAAAAATCCATTACACGTTTACACTATTTTTCTAAAAAATATGGCTAATAACTTTGATGCAATGGATACTTTTTTAGAACCGCTTGATCTTGAAAATGAGCTTGATGATATTGAACCAAAACACTTTGAACCAAAAAAGCCTGGCAAAAAAAAGAACGGAGTATGGAATTATTTTATTGAAGAAGAAAGTAGAAAAGGTGGTCATTTAGCCTGTGTTTGTATATATTGTGGAGATGCTTGGAATAGAGGCAGAATTCCAGATATGATGGCGCATTTAGCATTACAATGTGAAAATGATGTGAAAAAACAGTATTTTAAAATTCTTTCAGAATCTTGTGACCAATCTTCTGAGAAATCTACTACAAAGAAATGAAAGCTTGATGAAGAGATTGCATCTGGTATTCAACCAAAAATCACATCTAAACTACAAAAATCATCAATTGATCCTGGACAACGAAATCTTTATAACAAAGCATTAACCAGATTTTTTGTTTGTTATGGCGTTCCTTTTTCAATTGTAGAAAGTCCATTTTTTATTGATTTAGTAAAGAATTTATGTGCTGGTTATCAGCTTCCAGATAGAAAGACATTAAGTAATACTTGGCTTAATAATAAGGCAGTAAGAGTTACTGTTAATATGGAGGAAATACTCGAGAGACAAGAAAATCTTTCTTTAGGTAAATTTTTTTGGATATTAGTACTAAAAAAGAAAATATAATAAATTATTAACATTTAATTTTAATTCTAAAGTATTAGATGGCTGAATCAGTAGCAACCATCATTCTTACTTTTCTTTTGTAGTCATTACTTCTGAAAGAAAAGAATATGTAATTAAAGTCAAGGATTATTCTAAAGACTCACATACTGGTCTTTTTACTGCTCAAGAAATAAAGAAAATTCTTACAGACATAGGTTCACAACGTTTTTCTTCAGTAGTATCAGATGGTGCTAGTGCTATGCAATTAGCTAAGCGATTAATTTCGGATGAGTATCCTAGAATTATGCCAGTTCGATGTATTGCTCACCACATTCAATTAATATGTACTGATATTATGAAAAAGATCCCATTGGCAAAAAATCAAAATTTTGTGACATATTTTACTGAATCACACCAGTCTGGAGCTATTCTTCGTGAAGAAATCAAAAAAGAATTAATTGTTGGTGGTGGATTAAAGAGTTCTGTCAAAACACGATGGAGTACTGCATGGGATTGCTGTTCATCAGTTTTACGTTTAGAAACTGTTTTTAAAAATGTAAGTTAATTTAAATTTAAAATTAAATTAAATTAAAAAATTGGATTAAATAAAATCTTTATATTTACATTATTAGATGTTGATTGATAATTCAAAAGCAATGAATCAATCCTTACGAATCTTGGTAAATAATCGAAATTTTTGGTCAAATGTTGAAGCTCTTGCAAACATTTTGGAACCTGCAAAAAATGCTGTAAAAAGCGTTGAATGCAAGAATACAACCATGGCAGATGTTTTTTTTGCACTTATTCAAATGGCCATTTCAATTAAAGCTTTACCTACTGAAACATCAGAGGAATTGAAAGAATTTCGTCAAAAATGTATCCAATTTTATAATTATAGATGGAAACAATTTGATTTTGAATTATACTTACTAGCTTATTTTTTACATTCCAAGTATCGTGGAAAGGGTTTAATACCTGAAACATATTAAATAATTCAAAGAAAAGCATTAACTTTATGGCAAAAAATTGGTGGAGGTTCTAATTCAGCATTAGCACTTGCAATTCAAATGAATGATTATGATAATTATAAATCTCCTTATAATTTTCCTTACATTGATGAACTTCAAACTTCCTCATCATGGTGGCTAGGATGTAAACAATCCAATCATTATTTGCAAGAATTAGCTTTATATATTCTTTCTATTGTTCCCAATAGTGCAAGCTGTGAAAGTGTTTTTTCTATATTAAATTGGTTTACACAAAAAAGATGAAGCAGGTATGTATATTTATAATATTTGTTTGCTCAATTAACTGTTAAATTTTAATAATCTAAATTATAAATTTTTTTCTTTCATTAGACTTAAAGTAGAAAAAGTATCTAATATGGCTCGATTGCATTCATTTTATATATCAAATTGCACAGCAAGAACTTAATTATGCTGGCAAAAATCTATCTGAAGATGCTTTTAATCAAATAATGCAGGATTATGCCAAATCACTTACACTTGATTCAGATATGTTTGAAATAAATGATGACAATGATAATAATGACCCTTTTGAAAATTTAATACCTGAAGAGGAAGAAGAAAATAATGATCAATTAAATGAAGATGATTCAAATTTATTAGTTGGAAATTTAATTAAATTGAATAATGTAAATAGAGAAGATATTGAGCTGGAAGAGGTTGATCATAGTGATTTAGAGTTTAGTGTAGATGATATTATTGCTAATGTTAACCGTTTAAATAATAAAATTTAGTTAGCAATTATAGTTTTTTTGGGATTTTATTGTTTATTATAAATAGTTAATAAATGCTAATAAATGGGTGTTATAAATATTAATAAAAATAAAATAATTCATACATTGTAAGTATTTAATTTACAATTTAGCATTGCGGCAGTGTATTTTGTTTAACACTACAGCAATTTGACAATTCAACAATTCAGCAATTCGGCAATTTGACAATTTGACAATTTGACAATTCGGCAATTCGGCAATTTAACAATTTGACAATTTGGCAATTTGGCATTACGGCATTACAGCGGTGTAATTTATTTTGACATTACGGCAGCGTAATTATTTTGCTGCCGTAATAATTCGGCATTGTCTTATCCTAATTCACCCTATATATAGTAGAAATCCGATCTATAGCTCGTTGGAATCATCTCATCGAGCCGGTTCGAATAGGACCCCGGATATCTCCAAAACAGGTCATAAGTCACACTTTCGGCAGATTGGCCCATTTTTCAGGGGCTCAAAAAATCGTTTTTTGTAAATATCACGGCATCCAGTGGTCCAATTTTGATGAACTTTTTTTTAAATTGTAGAGCTAAATGAGGGCTACAAAATAAAAAAAAGTTCATTAAAATTGAATTACTGGATGCTGAGATATTTACAAAAAAAGATTTTTTGAGTTTAAGCAAAAAGGGGTGTTTTTGGCCAAAAGTCCATTATGACCTTTATATTAGATATCTGGGGTCCTGTTCGAATAGTACCAAAATCATCTTTCTAGTATCGATAGATGGAGAGTTAATTTTGCCAATTTTTCAAAAAAATAACTCGCCATCTATTGATGCTAGAAAGATGATTTTGATACCATTCGAACCATCTCAACGAAACAATTCCAACGAGCTATTGATCAGGTTTTTACGATCACTGGATGGTGAGTTATTGCGCAAAATGGATTCTGATCAATTAGAAAAGAACTGAAAAATGGAACTGAACTGAACTGTTTAGAGCTTTAGATGTTATAAATAATTTTAAATCGCAAAACTAGTCAAAATATAATATTTTTTTGTTTATCTATATTAGACCTTTAATGCTTATTACTTAAATCTTAGTGTTGTAGTAATCATGTAAATTTTTATAATTTATTAAAAAAACTAAAATTTTTAAATTTTAGTTCATTTAATAAGAAAATAAAGCAAAAATTATTTATTTATAGAAAAATTCATATTGGATATTAGGTTTGCTTACCTTGTTAAGCCATAAATACAAATAGTATAATATGAATAAGTAAAATGTTTTTTTTTATATTTAAAATAATGTTAAAATAAAAGATATTTATAATATATTTAAAAAAAATAAGCAAAAGAAAAAAGTTAAAAAAGTTTTCTTAGTTTGCTATATCAAAATAACCATATAATTGATAACCTTTACTGGTCAAATACAACTGAATAAAGTGAAGTTTTTGACTTTTAAAAGGGTTAAAAATATTTTTTAAATCTTGAACAAACATGTTTACTATTGTTGGAAAAAGTGTTACATTGCATTAATATGGTGTTACCTTTAACCTAAAAATTCTGATTTTTAACAAAATTTAGGTTGGCATTATAAATCTGGCCAAAATTATAATTTAAAAATTAATGAATTTTAACTAATCAAACTAATTTAGCTAAATTTAAATATTAAATAAATATTATATATCTAAAGACTGTATCATATTAAGAATTTGTATTATAATATCATAGTATAAAAAATCTCACCACTAATTTTGCTGAAATGACCAGTGACTGATAAATTAAAATAAATTAAATTAAATTAATTTAAGTACAATTTATTAATAGAATTTCAATTAAAATTATTATTGGTAAAATTTAGTAATTTTCTTATATAGTATATATATTATTTTTATTTTATATATTTTTATAAAATTAAATAAAATAAATAATATTATAAAATTAAAAAAAATATAATTATTAAAAAAGTAAAGTAAATAAAAGAAAAAAAAATATATAAATAATTATTAGTATAAAATTAATATAATAAAAGAATTTCAAATATATAAAAATAAAAAAAGCAAATTTAAAAAATTTAAAAATTATTTTTTTGCAATTATTATATGGGGTCTTTGCAATAGAAAGGTACAAAACTCAAAAAAAATTAAAAATTGAATTAATATTAAATTTGTATTTATTTTAGTAAAAAAAACCATAATTAGCATATAAAGTAAAATTAATATTTTTTTTAAGTTTCGTATTTTTCTATTGCAAAGATCCCATATATTTAGTAAAAAAAATTTTATTTAAATTTAATTACTAAATAGTTTTAAAGAATTATAATTCTATTGGTTTTACTCTTTAAAATAACAGACTGATTTATTTTAATATAAATATATATAATCTTTAGTTTTGGGATAATTTAAGCTAATTAAATAATTTATATAAGAATAAAAATAAAGTAATAAATATTTATTAAAATAAAAATTTGAATTTAATTATTAGAATTGGATTTGAAATTTGAAATTTAGAATTTAGTATTATTAACCCTTAAACTCTTTTGCAGTCAAATTTATCTGCAATTTTATTTTTTAATTAAAGCCACTTTTAAATACCTTAAAATATTTTATTACATAAACCAATATTTTTATAATAAATTCTATAGTATTTTCTAAGTAAAAATTAAAAAAAAAGTTCAATTTGATTATTGACAAATTATAACAAATAGTAGTTAAATTTTTTAAATTGTAATATCTTTTTATCCATTAATCCTAGAAATATAAATTACCACCATTTGATGTGTCTTAATGAAAAGAATCTGATAGAAATAAAATTGTCCTTCTACAAATATTATGTGATGGGATAATTTATAAAATCTAAAAATTTATGAATTAATATAACTTTTTATTTATTAATTTTAGAGTTATGATTTTATTACTATTAAATGCATCTTAATAAGAGGAATCTAACAAATATAATTTTATCTTTTTATAATCACTTGATCTTAAGATATTGTAAAAATTCAAAAATTTTTAAAATTAATTTTAGCCCCTACAGTTTAAGGGATATGGAAAATTTGGGATTTGAAATTTGGAATTAGTTAATTAAATTTGAATGATATGTATAAATTTAATTAATATTAACAGCACAATATATTACAGCTAATTTTATTATTAATTTATTAATTATTTTTAATAATTATTATTATTCATAATTTAATTTAATTATTTTAATAAAATAATTATTAATAGTATGAATTATCAATTAATAGTCAACTGATGGGATGACTGGACTATTGGCGAACTATAGGCAGGGTGAATAGGACACTATAGTGGTTACTTGTTACTCAAATTTTACTAATCCCCTTTTTTTATTTTTATAAATTTTACCCTAGTTTTTTTGTTGGACTTCTTTTTATTTTTTTTGGTTCCAAGTTTCATATTGCAGTTACAGTGAGTCTTGTTGGGCACTTACAGGACAAAGACCTGGAGGAGGAGATCCTCTCTAAGAAAGGATGCTTTCTAAAGCACACTTACTTCAACAGTCTGGAATTCCAACCTAACAGTATACATATGGTTGCCTTGAATGATAGATGGATGGTTTGGTTCCTAATAATATTAGTTTATGTTTTCTATTCACGTATTCTCAATGTAATGGTTCACCTAATTTACTAATAAAGGTTCCAAATGTGCTGCAGCCAAAAAAAAAAAAAAAATGAATTATCAATTTATTTGACATAATAATAAAGTAATAACTATTAATGTTTATTCTCTAAAAAAATTTTACTATTACATAAACCTCTAAAAAATGCCAGATAAAATTAGTAAGTTTATAGATATTAAAATAACTAATTTGAACTGATGGATTTAACTTTTCCTTTACTTTAATGTATTTTCTAATATTTATTTCTATGTATTTTTTAATGTGATTTAAAAGACTTAACTCTTTCAAACTGTTAAACATTTCATTTTGGCATTTTGGTATATTGACAATTGACAGAAATCTGAAATCAAAAGGAATTTTATTACAATATTTACCATTATTATACATGTAATATTTGATTATACTCTAGCTCTGGAAGTAATAGATTAACTTGCTTTTCTAGTTTTTTGATCCTTATTGGGTAAAATCTAGACATATTTCCAATCTTATTCTATTCCATTAATAGAGTTATATTTTCTAGCTCCTTAAAAGTTAATGAGTAAAACTTTATTAATAAAGTAAAGAATTAATATTAGCTTATCAACTGATTTCAATTTAGTAACTTCACCAATTGATTTGGAATTAGCAGCATTGCTTAATATCTAATATGGTTTTTTGGCTTCTTACTTTCTCAATGCAATTATATTAAAAGCTTTTCAAGCACTTGGCTTTTGCAATATTCTAAAGCCCTTTCGTGTCATAAAGATAACAGTTCATGCAACATGTTGATAGATTTTTATGTAACTTAAATATTTGTGTACTCTTGTAAAGTTTTTTTTTTTACTTTCATTATTCAATAAGAAATAACTGTATCATTTTGAAATTAATATTGGTGCACTATAATCCTGACTACATTACATTTATTGTTTATTTTTTTTTTTTATTTCAATTAAAATCCTATTATAAGATATTAACAAATCAAAATTTAACGGCTGAGATGACTAAGTGACAAATAATTTGGAATAATGTCCATGTGCCATTGCATCTATATACTCCCACCGATACCCTCCAGCATGAGCCTGAAGTCCTCGACATACCTTCCAGATATGATTACTTTAGCTATGAATGGAAAGTCTTAAAAAGATTCATTATCAAAAATCTGCTTGACAGCAAGTTGAAACTAGAGATGAATACACGAGTCAAGTTGTCAAGCTCTATCTCTCTCCATTCTTCATTGAGAGGATTATATGTAATCTTATCCCATTGCCAGCCATCAGTGGTTTTTGCTTCTCTACTGCGATTTAACTTGTATCACTTGCAAGACGTAGAATCTCAAATCTGAAGAACATTTCCGTTCAACATTTCTTGCACGATTTTTCTGGATCTGTTACGATCAATTTTGGAATATTCTACGCTCAATGTTCTCTTTAGCAAATTATTAGCTCGATTGTGAGGTTTATTTCCTGGATTGGGAATAAATATCTGCAACTAAAAATGAACAGCCAATTTTTTTTATAAACATATCCTCATTCGTATATAATCTTGTCTTTTACAGAAATGAGAGATTTAGCTTAAACGTCGTACCTTTTTGTTCTTAATACGCCAGTCTAAATAATTTATATCTGAGCTAGTTGCTTGTAACGAAATATTGAACAAAAATCGGGTAGGTTGAAACCCCAAGAAATCATTATTCATTGTTCAGCCACATACCTCTCTCTTCTCGAATAATTTAGCAGACATTCTACAAAATTGCAATACATTGTGAACGGGTGCTTCTTTGCTGGTCGTATTTATAGATTCAGAGGAAATGTAAAAAAAATGCGGATTATGTGATCTTAGCCGTTACACAGGCGTGTTTGTACGATAGGCAATCAGCAATGAAGAGCTTCGATTATTATAAATTTTGGCTGGCACTATGAATAAAATATGGGATGTGTCACAACTGACCTAGCCAATGATTACAACATCCATAATGTCTTAATGCCATAATGCTGTAATGCCAAATAATTTCTGATATAATTTTAATTACACTAAATGAAAAACTTTTTGAGCTTATTTATAAAAGATTAATATAGATTGATATAAAGCATAATTGATTTTATCCAATAAAATAAAATCAATTTGTCAATATGTCACATTTGACATGTTTCAAACTTTAAACATTATATTTATTAGAACAAATTCATTGATTTGTAATATACTAATATTGTAAATTATATATAGTTTTTGGAATATGACCTTAATTACAATAATTCGGGGGATCTTATGCCATCAATATACCGAATGAATATTTTATACATTATAATGAATTTACTTTATAGCGAATTAAAAAAAATTGGGAGCTATTTAGATTTCCTTTTTAGATCAAAAATTTATCATTTCCTTTTTTGTTCTTTTGTTTGGTCTTTTATTTTTGTCCGGAATTACTAAAAAATATCCCGTAATTTTTTTCCATAAATTCGACCATTTTAGAAAAGGTCAATAACGTTGCAATATTGATAATGAAAATAAGACATTATCATTCTCTATTCTAAAAAAAGTGTTTTTATTGTTTGGGCATTCCACAATAGAATTCCAATAATAAATTTATTAACAGATCTTCACAATTACACCGTTTGACTTTTGTTAATTATTTAAAGTAATTATTATCAAACGGGTAATCCTAAAGTTTCAATAACCCATTTAGTTTAAAGAAAGGTTCTGTTTTTAGATACTCTCTCATATCGTATATTCTCTACGTTTGATATCACAAAAGTAACAAAAAAAAAAAAAAAATTATATATATTACTGTCTATTCGACATAATTGTTTTCAATGGACAATTCATTACTGCGCAAGCGCAAAGTTCAAAACCGCTGAATGAGCTTGTGTAACCGTTTCAAAACGTTTCGGTCTTTTCGTTGAGACTTAATTTGGAAATACTATTGTAAATCGAATTTGTTCTATAGAGGAACCAATTGCATACTACGGAAATTTTTTTCATTGTCTTATTATCGTCATTGAAACGGGAGAGATTATAAAATTATGCTTTTTTTTTCATAAAAGCATGTCACATGAATTTACTTTATAACAGATAAGGATAAACCTAATATATATTGCCAAGGAGCATACAATAATTTACTATATTCTTGAAACAAGTCTGTCAAAATGTTTCAGATTATTTTATCAAGGAAAAATCTATGAACATTGTTATTTTTTCCATCCTGTCTTTTTTACATTGATTACGTCATATCTTACATTCGGACTTTAATTCCGGATGTACAGAATATTTTACTATATACTTACTAATAATTGTATTGTTATTTTTAGCTTTTTAAGCCCAAATTTGGTATAAATTTAATCATTTTGGATATATATATAAATTTTTTTTTTTTCCTCATTCGTTTCTTATTTAAACTTTTTATAATTATTTTCTTAAATTTTATTATTATTATTAAAAATAATTATTTTACGCTGTGCGTATTATTTATAAAATGAAAACAACCAAACGGATTCTTGATCTGGAAGAGAAAAGTTCCATTTCAATCAAACAAGAAAGAAAATATTTCTCGAATGGAATTAACATTAATATTAACATCGGTCGTCCAAAGTCACCAATACTTGATTCGTTTTTTTCTTCTTTTCATTTGACGAAACAAAAATCAACGACAACTGCAACAATAATAACAACAACTACTAACGTTAGTAGTACCACACCAACTTCAGAATCATCATCCCAAGGCCAAAAACCGAAACCGGAAGGAAAATGTCCTTTTCCATTAACAATTGATTGTCTCGAAGAAATTTTTTCACATTTAATTGATGATAAACTTACATTATTTTCTTGTATATTAGTAAATAGTTTATGGTTAAATTTATGTATACCATTATTATGGAATAATCCATTTGATTATTCTATTCCTCAAAAAAATCAATTACGATTAATAAGAACTTATATTTCTTGTTTATCCATAAATGATAAACAAAAATTACTTAAATTTTATTTAGGTAACAAAGAAGATAATGATTCAATTAAGAAAACAAAAAAAAGGAAATCTTTATCCAAACCTTTTAAATTTAATTATTTTTATCAAAAAGATCCTTTAAAATATTCTCAAATATCATTACATCATGAACCTTTATTTATTTATCCAAAATATTTAAGAGGTTTAAATTACAATAATTTTGATTCAGCCATAAAAAATTATTGTTATTGGAATAGACCTTTAATTAATCCTTTAACGGATTCACTTGATGAGTATAAAAATTTGGTTTTTGAATTATTAAATAATTTAATATTTAATAATAATAATATTTTATTAAAACATTTAAGGCTTAAATTTAGTAAAGAAATTAGAACTCTTTTGCATAACAATGATTATTATATTGATAACAATGAAATCAATGAAATCAATAGTAACAATGACAATAATAATAATGACATCCCGATTATGATAACAGGGATTAATACTTTTACAAGGCTAACTACTTTGGATTTAAGTTATATGTATTCAAGTGAAATTAGTAAAATAATTCCTCAACAAATATCAAATATTTGTTCTCATCTATCGACTCATTCAACTCACATTCAATGTCTTACAATTTATATGCAAAAATGGTGGGAAGATGATTTTAAACAACAAGTTTGTCTTTCAATATTTAATTTAATTAAATCACAAAAATATTTAAAATATCTTTCAATTAATGAATTTTGGAATACAAATTATAACAATTTTAATAATTTTGATAATACAACTATTGAATATTTTAACAAATTTTATCAAATTCTTTTAGAAAATACTAGTAATACTTTGGAATATTTACAATTTTATGAATTGAATCGTTTTGATTTATTATTAAATATTCTTGGTAATCTTAAAAAATTAAAAAGTTTGGAAATTAAAAAATTGGTTAAACCAAATAATTTTTCAAATTTTAATTATAATTCTTTTAAAATTAATAATTTATCCCTTTCAAAATTTGATTGTAATTATAATAATCCTTTTGAAAATTTTTATGTTGTTAAAAATCCTTCTCATGATTCAATAATAATTAATTCTTTTATTTCCCCTATTATAAAATCCTCAAACAAATCACTTGAATCTCTTTCTTTAAGTAAAATTTCAAAAGATCTTTTATCAACAATAACATTAAATTGTCCAAATATAACAAATCTTTCCCTTTTATTAGATCCTACTTTAATACCTGATTTTTGTGCTTTATTAGTTTCTCTTCCTAAATTACATTCTCTTACTATAAAAAAATCTTTTTATAGATTATCTTTTAATTATATAGATTTTAAAAATTTAGCAATTAATTTACCAAATAGTCTTTATTATTTTAAAACTGATTTATTTGATAATTCAAAATCTTTAAATTATTTTTTAGAAACTTGTAATATAGATGTAAAATTAGGTGTATTGGAAATTTATCAACAATTAGTTAATGATGATACTTTAAATGCTATTTTAAATTATAAAAAGAAAAGTAATGATAAACTTAAAACATTTAAATATAGTGGTAGTAGAATTATGTTTAATGATCAAACTTGGGAATTAACTAAAAAAATTCTTCCTGATCTTGTAAAAATTGATTGGAATTAAAAAAAAAACAAACAAACAAACAAATTTATTTATATAAATTTTATATATTAAATAATTATTTATTTAAAATATAATATAAAATTAAGGATATTGTTTTTTATTATATTTGTAATATATTGCATTTTATATAAAAGTTAAAAATGCATTTTAAATCCTTTTAATATATCAAGTAAAATTGTTAAAAATGATGATAAATTTAAAATATTTAAATATAGTAATAGTAAAATTATATTTAATAATCAAACTTGGAAATCAACTAAAAAATTTCTGATTTTACAAAAGTTGATTGGAATTAAAAAAAAAAACAAATGAATTTATTTACTATTCATATAATGATTTCTTATTGATACAATCATTTCATTGATATAATGATTTTATTGATACAATGGTAAATTATTAATAACTAATAAGTCAAATAATAACTAAACTGTAAATATAACTAATTTAATTATAAATAACTACTATAAATAAATATAATTATAAATAAATATTATGTAACTATAAATTATTATATTTTTTAAGTATTTCAGTTAAATATACTTCCTTCAGCTAATTGTTTATTCAATTCCATTTATTTGGTATATTATTAATAATTATTCTTCCAGTCACTTGATATTTAAAGTTACAATGCATAGTAAATATATGCAATACACTTTATAATCTTTTTAGACATTGTTTATGATTTGATGAAATTCCTTTTATTTTTTAATATATAAAAAAACATCTTTTTTTCTGATATATCTAATTCTTTTAGTAATATTTTCTAATTATAAAGTATAACTATATAATTTGTTATCAGTATAAATACCAAATTTATTTATAATATATGATTATTATTACAAAAATTAATATATGTTTTTTGTATTTGAATTTACTAAATTGATTCATTTGCAAATTATATTGATGAAATTCCATTTACTTGTCCAAAGAAATCAGCTGGTTTATTTTCATATATTTTTTAAATTTAATTTGCAAAATTTAAATATACTTTATCAAAAAGTAATATATTAGTATTTTTTAGTTATAAACATATTTTTCAATCTATCATATTTACCTATTGATAAACTTTCTATTTTAAGATATATAAGTTGATTGTACAAGAAGTAGCAGATAACTATTCTACATTTTGTGAAGTATATATTTCCATTAATAAGATATGGCTTGGCAGTACAAAAGTAATCTTTTTTATTATATATATAATATTTTTTATTCTAAAAATACATTAGGTGATTCAAATCCTATTTTTCTATTTAATTGGAGTTTTAACATTCTTAATGTAGTATAAACCAATATACTTAACATATTTCTCATAAATACCCTCAAAACTAAATTGTAAATATCTAAAAAATATGATAATTATAATTATTTAATAATTTATAGCAGTTTATAAAATTAGATATATATAATAATTTTAATTCTAGCAATTTTTTATCAAATTCATTTTTATTCAATTACAAGCATACTAAGGATCTATATAGGATCATATTTCTTAGGCTATATATACTAATTTTATATTTACATGCATCCAAATTAATACCAAAACTCATTTAATGATAAAATTCAAAAATCTGAAACTCAAAAACTTTATTTTTAATGAAAAAATTGGTAAATCTGAAACTTTTCTAAATTATAATTAGTTTCAGAAAAGCATAAAAGAGTTTAGACAATTAACTTTATTATAAAAATAGTTTCTGAATTTTGATTAAACTAAAATTTTGAAAAAATAGTTTTGGCAAACATCCTTAATCTAAATCAGTTGTGGCTCTCTTGTGATTAATAGGAAATTATAGCATATTACTCTAGCTCCTTACAGTTTCTCAACAGTTCTAGAATACTGCCTGGCACTAGCATGGTGCCGAGTTAGAACCATCAAATCACAAGATGATTAGCTAATCAGATTTCAGATTTTTTCTTTAGCTGGATAAGCGGGAAATAAACATACATGAAAGAAATACCTGCTATTGCTCTATTTTTTTAATGGTAGATTTTGGATATGGTGTCCGGGCTCATCAAAATTGCTCACCCCTTGTTCTTTGAACTGAGGTGAAAGATAAAAAAATTTTAAGCAAAAAGGAACATGCATTGTAGATTAATTTACATGCACAGCACTGACCTTCGCATATCAATTTTGCAGATTGTAGTTAAAAAAGACAAAGTTCACTATATGAACAAACTAATAAAACCAATACTTTTATTTATGCTTAACTACCAAAACGAAAATTCTGGACACGCGTATCCACTAATTGTGCAGTAATGTGGCGCAGTGCAATCTAACTTCGTTCTGCTCTCAAGGAAGTTTCTATGTTTCCACAGTTACTATTTTAATAAGCCACCCAACACCCTGAAACAATAGATCATATAATTTTCGAAACTGGGACAAAAAACCGTTCCCTTTGGGAACGATCATTGTAACACAAATTTCTTTACCTACATGTCTGTGAGTGATAAACTTTATTTTAATAAGTTCATACAATAAAAAAGAGTCGCACAATACATGTTTGAAAGAAGCTGAAAAAATATATCGCAAATAAAAGTAAACAGCCCCACAAATACTAATTCCGGTTATTACTATTATTTGCCAAATCTATGGACCGCCCTACCGTTACTACATGGCTGTTCTTTATTGTCTATCTTCTTTTAATCATTTCTAAGATTTTTACAGAGAATACCACAGAGATTACGAAATTCTTCACGGAGTCCCTTGCGAAGTTCTCTAAGGAGTTCTTCATGGAGTTCTTCATGGAGTTCTTCCCGGTCAGGTTTAATATTAGCTACTGAAGATTCTACGCATAAGAGTTGAGAATGGCTTCATAAGTTGTGGGAGTAAAAGTAAAGACAATACTTTCATGATTACATCATGACAAAGTGAATTGACTAAGATTTACAAAATAAATATGGTACTCCAACTAGCAGCATCTGCAAGTCTCATTGCCGGCCCTGTTTCAAAACCGCATTCCCTGAAATCTTCTTTGTTCATTTTGACAAAATCACAACCAGTGATTTCCCGATCGCATAAAATTTTGAAATGTCTTTCATTCAAATGTAAGACTCGTTTTTTTAAGAATCCAATAAGATCCCCTGTGTTTTTATTTTTAATTTCTTCAGATTCGACAGGAGAAGACTGTGACTTTAATATTAATAGTGGTGATGTATTTATTTCATCGTTATCTGATGGAAGATATAATTTTGCAATGAAAGCCCATGGGAACAATTATTAAGTACATGTCTGATTCATATCATCCAAATTGATTGGCAATAAAATTCTTACCATAAATAGTTGTATTTTCATCAACGTTTCATCATTATCCGGAGAATGAGACTCATCAAGCATCCGCTTCGAAGCTATTATTTTGTAAAATGATAAAAGTATAAATTAATAATAGTTGAAATTTAAAAATAATTTGAAAGTTTAACATACATGGAAATTCAGTCGCCACTGCTTCAGTAACTGCACGTATTCCGGTAGTTAAGATATCACACTAATGGATCCCAATTGGATAAAAGGTTATATCCGAATTTTGGTATATAAATAAAATCAAATGCATTACATACTTTATTAACCCGATTCTCAACAGCGGCTTCCCGAGTTTCGTGAAGTGTTTTTTCCATAACTCAATGTTAACCTGGTCATTTTTAGAGTTCTTTAAAGAAAAGAAAATAGTAAATATATATAATGGTTGATAAGTAGTTGGCAGACTGTAATTTAAGCAAAAAAAAGCAATTTTTTCCATCAGCCCACTTCAAGCAAAAAACATTTTGCCTTATGCGACAAGATCGCTCAACAGAGTTGCAGAACTTATTACAAGCAATGTCAACATGGCAACGGAACTAACTATGCTATGCTACAACCAGCGAATGCAACATACTTCCCACTTCGGGCAAAAGAACATTTGCCTTGTGCGACAAACTCGCTCAACATAGTTGCAGGGGATAGGTATCATTGTTCTTGACATAGTGACATGGCTGAGAATCATTCTAGCTAAAACAAAAAAAAAAATACTACCTTTAAAGATTACTGCATATATTCTGCCCATCGAGTTAAATGTTCAGATTAATTCATTATATTTCATCGAAATTTATGTCGAAGTCATAATTTTCATTTCTAGTTCCTTTGTATTGTAATAATCCCGGCTTTTTGGTGGAAGTGCTTTAATGACAACATTCAGTTCAAGTCCAAGTGAATTGTGCGCTTGTGCTTTGGAAACTTGTTAATATAGAAAATATCAATCACTCATGCCTTGTGAGTCGCGTTACCAAGTAATCTATGGAGAGAGACTTAAGTTTCTTTTTATTAGCGTAATTATAAAAATCTTAGTTCAGAAGTTTATATGGATAATGGAGATCTTTAAGTCGAGAACTGAGGACATCTTTACCAGAAAATGAGAGGGAGAAAAATAGTTTTTCGTTACACGTTTTTAAAATCTCTAAATGGCGTCAAAATCACGACCACGTGCCATAAATCGTAGCTGATCGATAAAAACGACTGAGGATTGAGGAACCTGAGGAATGAATTTGCAGTCACGTGCGCGTTACGGCCGTTACGCTAACCACAGATCACTTTTGCAAGAAAAAAATTTTCAATGCAAGTGGGCGAAATTTTATTGATTTTTAGATACATAACTAATCAGAGGTAGCGAATGAAATACATGATGCTTTCAAAGAGGGAGGAAGTACGCGGATCCTAGGCCATTTAATGCAAAGTTATTTCTTTGCTCTCATTTACAGAAAATATCTATGAGATTCTCCTACCTTATCTCTATTTCTACACTATATTTCTGAAATAAATTATCCCACCCATATCTACATAATTTTTATACATTATCTTTACCAGAATATATATTAGAATCTAATAAATAAATAAATAAATATAAATCAACTTATTTTCGGGAGATTGCCCTATTTGTATTTTACTACATCTGACTGATTGATATAAATTTAATATTCCATTAATCCGATAAGTAAAAAAGTTTTTAATTTTTACTATAATTTTCATGTTCATATATAAATTTAATTTTTTTATCTAAAACAATATTTAAGAAAATTAAAAATTGAATAACTAAAATAATAATTATTATTTTATTTTTTTTTAAAAAAAAAAAAATTATTATACCTTGGTTATTATCATTATCTTCAATTAGTTCATTATCAAACTTTCTTTTGTCTTTTTTTTTTAAAAAAAAAACCATAGAATATTATTTAATACAATTATAATAAATAATAACTGAAAATAATATATATTAATATCATTAATACTTACCAAATCCTGAATTATTTTTAATTCTTATTGACTCTGCAGATTTGATAAGTGCACTTAAAGGTCTACTTTTATAAATGGCACCTGGATTTGTTATTACAGGTCCATTATCTGATAATGGTATAATCTTAGTAATTGAATTGTTTTCATAATCTCTAATAATTGCAATTTTTGATTGTATATCAAAAGTTGGTGGTCTTTTACATGGATCAAAATGCAAACATTCTTGCATTAATTCAATATAACCTTTAGGTGCATTTATAAGAATTGGAGGCCGAAACCCATCACATAATTTATTAATAAGAGCTATATCATGATTTTCCTGTCATTAATTCCCACATAATCATACCGAAACTATATATATCTGATGCTTTAGTATATTTTTGACCTTGAAAAATCTCAGGGGCAATATAAGGAATGATTCCATAAACTTCATCATCATCATCATCATTCGCTGTTGCACATTTACTTAAATCACCTATTACTGCTTTGTTACTCAGAAAGATATTTCCGCTATGATAATTTTTGTGCAGGATATTCACCATATGTAAACTGTGAAGTCCATCTATAATATTATGCAATTTACTTAGCTTATTATTCCAATCCATATTAAAAAAATTATTGGCAATATAATGAGTTAAATTTCCTCCATTACAATATTTTGTAATTATCATGTAATTTTGAGTAATAGGATCATAAGTGATTCCATAATATTCATTAACACAAGTTCGATTTAGAGAAGAAATAGCAAAGCGATAAAATATTTTTAGCTAAAAACAATGAGGTGTTAAAATAATTTTATGTTAAACTAATATAATTAAATAAATTAAATAATTTACCTCATTTAACTCTTTATTAGTGATGATTCCGGAATTGTTAATTACTTTGAGAGCAACTACCATTTCAGCAAGACGATTATATTTTTGTTGTTTTTTGTTCCATTTTGATATTGGTCCATCAATCCAAATAGCCTTATAGATTTTATTAAATCCTTCTTCAGCAATTAATTCTATATTTCGAATCTATCATAGGGAACAAATTCCATTTTCCCATTTCTTTTTTCAAAATTAATTAGTGTGTGTTTTATAAAGTCATCTATTAATTTATTTCCGCTTGATACAAGTATTGTCCTTGCTTCATAACATAAATGACAAATTTTATGAACTTCATCGAAATTTTTTCTTTTGTGATTACATTCATTACATTTCTTGTATTTTTGTTTAAGTGCGATTTTCTTCTTTTTGGATTCTCCTTTTAGTTTATGGTCAATCGATTGTTCCATTATGAGTTTTTTTTTTTAAAAAAAAAAGAAAATTTTGAAACTTCACATAATATATATATACTTTACGGACTTTACTGTCATGAATAATGAACGTGACACGAATTCTTAATTAGAACACTATTTAAAAAAAAATGAATCAGGCATGATTATTATTTGTGAAACATTCTTTGGAAAAGCCCGATTAAGAATTCTCCGGGCGCACATTCATTGAAAATTTGCAGATAATGTATATATTATAGAATCTTCTTTAGATGTTAAATAATGGGGAGAGGAAAAAGTCAAAAATGAAAAATAATTCAAATGAACAATAGTTTTTTCGATCATTAAACAAATTCATTTTTTATTTTATATTTATTCATTGTAAAATAATATATGCACTACTTTATACAAATAGCTAATTATATTGATTATATTGTGACTTTTATTTCTTTACCCTCTTATAATGCTCCATATACTGTATAATATATAATATTTTTTCATATTTTTTTTTTTTTAATGAATCAAAGCAATGAAAAAAATCTAAATCTTTACTATTTGCCAACTATTTTTTTTTTTAGTAAATTATTAAGAATCTAATTTATCTAATTTTTTCCAACCCACATTTCAATTCTTTCTTTATTGACATTATTATTAAAATCATAATTCTTTTTCATGACTTCTTTAAAATTTTCCCAATCTTCTTCATCTCTTATTCCAATAATTCCATGATTCGCGTATCTATATTCAAAATTCCCTGATAATAATTCTATCGATAACTTGTTCCGCATAATTATAGTAAATTCGCGAAGAGTGAGTTGTATAGGTATGTCATATTGATATCTTGATGTTTGATAATTCATGACTATAGGAACCTTTGTTTATTTATATAAATAAAAAAATATATATATTGAAATTTAAATTATGGTATATCTTAAAAGAAATAGCAACATCAAACAAAGAAATAAAAAGGATTAATTACTCGCAATTTTATATCCATACACATCAAGTTAAAGATGAAATCGGAACCAACCGAACTTAATTCTCTAACAGTTATGAATAAAAGAAAATGGTAAAGATAAAAAAGATTAAATAAAAAATAATTTATTTAATTTATTTTATTTTATTATTAAAAGAAATATTTACTCATATACAGCGTCCATTGCTTCTAAATTGCAAAAATTTTCATGAACAGAAACTGTTGCTAAAATCATGTTAGAATTATAGATCTCCCCATTCGTTGGATCCATAGAAATTTCAATATTATCCTTGTCAATAATTCTTCTTACCTATGTTTTAATAAATAATAATTTTTAATTTTTAATTATACAAGTTATAGGATATATACACATTATACCGGGATAATCCATTTTCTAATGTTATGTCGTAGTTGCATTTCAATTAATCTACCAAATCTTTCGTATTTCGTAATACCATTTACGTGAATATCAAGGCGAAACTTATTTTCTTCGTTATTAGATATGAAACAAATTGCTTGAGTTACAGGATTAATTGCGATAGAACAAGTATCTTCCGTTTTGATGGTGAAATTATTAATAATCAATGAGTATAGTGGTATTGAGATCGATGGATGGAAAATATTATCATCAGAATTCTACACGAAATTTTATTTACTAAGAAAGTATCCATCTAAAAACAAAATGTGATATAGTTATACTCATATTTACTAATTGTCTTTTACTTACCTCATTAATGTCAGTAGTGTTGTCTGATCTTTTCATTCCTTCAACAGAATCGCCGTATTTAATAACGGAAGTAAATGAACTAATAAATAAAATAATTTAGATCTTAACAACGGATAACCCAATTAGAAATAATATTATCATTATACCAATCCGATTTGTCAATTTTTAATGTATTCAAGCTTTCTATCAAATCTAATCCTTCTTCAACTACTCCAGCAGTGTTGTCCGACTAATTAATTAAAAATTTATATATGACGATAAAATATTGAAATTGAATTTACAAAAGTAAAAGTAAAAGTACCAGATCATTGTATTCTTTATCATCCGTTTGTTCAGCACACATTTCAGTATCACTAAAATCAAATAATTCATCACAGTTGTCAAATTCTTCATCGAGATCCATGTTTTGATTTTTTTTCAAAATGACAATGTTTGTAATTTGGAATTAATTAATTATACTTGAAAATAAAAAGATATCAAATATGATTTTGCAATTTTATGCGGAAAAATTTATTATTCTGCTGATGTATGTCCAAATACTATATAATATAGTAATTTCCATCTAATTTGATTTTTATAGTGTGTAAGTGTTGATTCATTTGATATAGTGAAAAATTTTAGCTCAAGTCATGTGAAGTCGAATTGTCGAATTGAATAATTTATTCACGTGATGTCAGGTTCTTTGTAATTAAATTAAACCGGTAGTTTTTCAATTTCTAAGCAAATTAGTTCAATTAATTGGAAATTTTTATTTCATTATTACATTCACGAAATTTTCTTTGATTAACTCTTGTTTAAGTGACATACCTATCGACAACCACTTTTTTTTTAAAAAATAAACCTTGAATGATTTTTCTTTAAAATCAACAAGTTTTGATATCTTACCAAAGTTAATAATAAATGATGCGATAACAATGCAACTTTTATCGACATATTCAACTAGTAAAAAATATATTTAACAAGTGATTCCAAGATGAATTTTGTAAGATGTTTAAGCATGAAAATGTTCAGGTACGATATGAGTATATTGAAAAAATTGTCCATCGATTTATAGAGAAAGTTTATTTTTACCTTCTCGTGTTTCCATCACTTCTTTCCAATATGAAGTTAATGGAATTATATTTAATTTTTTTATCATTATGAAATCTGGTCAAATATAAACATTATCACGAATCTGTTAAAATTATCATAATATTAAATAAAATAATATCGATACTGCTGTTTTCTTCAGCTAAAGAATTTATACCAATCAAACAATCTTACTTCAGTTGAATCCATTGGTGACTTATTTCGAACAATCATTTCTGAAGCTTGTATATTATCAATCTAACCGGACTTTACACATTTATTGTACAAATTGTCATGAAAAGCCGATTATTTTAAAGAAACCCCTTTTGGGCAATGCACTGTAACAAAAGTCGGTGACGAATTTTGTGAATAATTGCTATTTCTTTTTTAGCAATAATTTTTTTATACTCTTGTTCGTCATAATGACTTGATTAAATACAGGCAAAATAACATTCTTTTGTTTAGTTAACTCCGTATTTGAGTTAACTGGTTTTATTTCGCATGAGAGTACAACGATAATTATTTAATGCAATATAAGCAATTGTTCAGTGTAAATGCCAATTACATCATGTTAATTATGCGGAAATGATGTTTTGATTTTTGTTACACGAAAGTGAAAGTTCTGGAATACAGATACATTAAATAAAATAATGAACAAAAAAAAAATTAGTAACGAAGGGCGCAAAAAATTAGGATTTATACTACCATATTTATGGTAAATCACATGTTTTATTATTCCCCCTGATTTTTTACAAAGGCAGTTAAATAAATTGTTATAAAAAGTACCTTTTTTATTATACAATAGTTATTCTACGTCATAAAAGAGGGAGCTGCGGAAATTCATGGCATTATGATCGGCAAACAATTATGCAATCCATTAATGCTTGCGTAACATACACAAAATATAAATACTATTTTATTTCTGCAGAGCATAAAAAATTTTATTTAATTTTCGTCTCTTTTATTTGTAAACGATTTTAAAAATTATAATGTCACAAACTCCAAGTTCAAATGCTGGTCTGCATGATATAATTATGGAAGAATCTCCTCCTGCGTATACACCATATCCAAATTCAGGAGAGCAGTCAATGGCATTTGGCCCAAATCGACCTTTTGGTAATAATGCAACACAAAATACTCCTCAACAACAACAGAATAATTATCAAACAACTTCAAACCAGAATACATATCAACCACAACCACAATTTCATCAACCACAATTCCATCAACCACAATTTCATCAACCACAATTTCGTCAACCACAATTTCATCAACCACCATTACATCAACCACTTTTGCAAAATTACAACCCTCAATATCATGGTTATAATAATAATTTAGCTCATGGGGTTACAAGACCTATTAATACTGCTATTCCTATCAATACTCAAGTTATTACAACACCTTTTCGTTATATAACAAATCAAATCAATCAATTTGCTTCAACAAGAGTTAATAACGATTTTGTACAAATGGCACGTCCACAAAATAATGTAATATATGTAAAGCCCGGTGATCCTTCAATTGGAGGATTTTTATGTCCAAAATGTCAAGGTAAAATTTATACAAAGTTATAACAAATTTAAAATGTTTTCAACAAATATTTAACTGGATTTTTATCTTTTATTTAGGATTAGGAAAATTAAGCAATAAGCAATTATGTAATAAATGTCAGGGTATTGGAAGACTTTTCAATTAAAAGTTCTCTTTTCATGTAAGAGTAAGAGTTTATAAATATTTTGTATACAGCTTTATCTACTGTAAAAAATATTTATTTTTATTTAACACATTCATATTTTTTTTTATTTTTTTCTAGAATAAAAATGAAACCAAACAATTTAAATATATTCTTGATTTTTTTCATTTTTAATCAGTAGTTAACAAATATTACAAACAATCATATTTTTTTTTTTTTTTATAGAATAAAATGAAATCAAACAATTTATATAGTATTATTATAACTTTGGCCAAGTTTATTTTCGTATTTTTATTAATGTAAAAAAGGTCATTCAATTATTGCGGTACTATGAATATTTATAGCTTAATTATACGGAAAAGAAAAGCGACGTGCCCAGAGTTCATATACGGATGAAGATGTCGATAATCCCCAAATCCTATTAGACGAAGATTTTTGTTAATTTATTTAATTTATCGTAAGTAAAGGTGTAAAGATTGAGATTATTGTGTAATATATCACTCATTGAACTTTTTTTCACACACAACTTCAATCTTATGTAACCAATACAATTTTTTCAAATTAATACCAACTTGATCACGTATTGTTGAGCTACTATATTAGTATCAAGAGTTTAATCAATTCATTTTCACAAAACTTTTCCCTTTACCAAGTTCATAAATCATAACCCTATCAGTAATAGAGTAAGCTAACATAATGACAAAAAATCGCCCATTCATCATAACTATTACCAATATTACAGCATCCCGCGAATAAATTTGAGATCAAAATCATATACGAGATCTAGTAAATTTACTTTGAAAAAATTCAATTGATATGTAAGGATATTAAAAGTTTTCTTTAATATTCCAATTTTATTAGCAAAATTCAGGACGAATCTATGCAGTATCATACCTACGTTCTTGAATTATACTGTATATTTCATGATGCTACGCATTATACTGTATTTTAAGTGTAAAGGTTTGTGAGTTGTGGCATCTTTTTTTCTAAAGATTATACACAACAGGATTTGAAGTTTCAAAATATTCCTTTTAATCGTTTAACTTGAAAATGCAAATAAAAAATCACGGCCATGGATATAAAGGAGGATATTCACATAAATAGGATCATGTCCTACTGATATTTATTTATTTATTATTATTGCAGATATATCATATATTGATTTAATAATATGCTAATAATAAATAAGCATGGGTATGGTGGTTAAAATATCATCCGAGCTTCGATATTTCCGTAAGAACCCCTGTCACTTTTAAGCTTGTATAAACTAAAATAAGAACCCAAAAATAAGCACCCCTTAATGATATACAAATTTAACCAATACATGAAAAAAATATAAATTCAAACAACATAAATTTAGATTTAAAATATTTGTTTATTATGAATGTACGCAAAATATCTTTTATTAGTCATTATGTTAAGAAGTTGGTCTCTAAAGTCTAAACATGTAAAAAAAAAACGTAAAAACGTAAAATGTAAGCATATCAAATTTACCGATCACATGACTACAAAAACGGGGTTGCTTATTTTCACGATTTTATGGTGTTTCCCAAAGCAAAATATTGATTTACCATATGAAAATATTATTTATCATACAAATCTTCAGCCAAATATAAAATCCCTTTACGTTAATTTGTTTACTTTTTAGCCGTAATCCGAAACTTTGGTAGGTACAGTATATATTATAAAATACTTTACCCAATATGTAAAATTCAATTTGCTTTGTTGAACACTGAATAGGTAAATCTAATACTTAAGTAATCAATTATAAAGGTTAGTTTGGGTCCTTTTGTAACAATATTTTACCCGTTAAATGATTATAGTACATGTGTAGTATTACACGTAACTTTTTATATAATATATAGTTCCCTTTTGGCTTTATTTAATCGAATTTGGAATAAATCAACAAAATTTTCATATCAATCGTGATTGTAAAGCTTTCTTTTTGACAAAACGTACAGTAGGTTTCGGATATTGTCGGGAAATAACATGATTTCATTGTTTGTGTAATAAACAATACTTAACTTAAAGGCTGAAGCCCTGTAAAAAATCTGATCCGTGTTTTATCTTTCCATGTTTTTTCCGTGAATGTATCATTTTCATGGAATTTATAGCCTTAAATCATGGAAATTTTCATCTCGCTAACACGGATATCCGTGAATGTATCATTTTCACGGAATTTTTACGGAAGACACGGAGAAATAATGGAAATATTCGGATAAAAATTTTTTATAGGGAAGGTTGGAGTTGTTTATAAAAAGGATAAAAAAAGTCCACTTTAGCTTAAAAATTTGAAACTTCCGCCCTATTGGAAAAAAAAACAAAATAAACCTTATTTTAATACTTTTAAAATGTCTTTTCCTGGTGATAATAATCATGAATCTAATTCTGAATATTTTGATGATTCTTTACAATCTTATTACGAAAACGTACCTACTAATGACTACAATGTTGATGAACAACCATCCGTTGCGCAATATTATCAAAAATCTTCGCAACATGAACGTATTCAACCAAATGACATACCCACATCAACCATAACACCCGCGTCACCATATAATGCTAGTGCGGAAATTCTTATTCCAAAAATTTCTAGGAGAATTGATTCCTCTCAGAATCAAATTCTTAAAATCGAATTGGAAATTGTTATTAAATTACAAAATGATCAAAATCAACAAAAGGCTCAATATGTTCATTCTTCGGCTTTGCCGAAAAATCGTGCAAATAGAATGAATCCTTATCGGAAACCGACTGAACAGAATTTTAGAAATAAGAACAGTGGTAGTACCCATTCTTACTCTTCCTCATCAGTACCACAACTAAATAGAAGTTCTGCTATTTATATGCAGAATATCGATAATAATCGTGCACCTCAATCTCAATTTCAACCAAATGAAGATTTGAACGAATCTTTTAGCAATAATTATAATAATACCTTTTACGATTAAAATATAAAATAACATGTATACTGTATCTTATCGATCTTATATAATTTATGTCTTATTTTTTTATGAACTTTGAATACATTATATGTTATCTTTTTATCATAATAAAGTTATCGTATATATAAAAAATTGTTTTCGTTTTTTTAAGTGTTGCATTACATATTATAAAATTAAAATTTCCCATTTGGACCAGAAGAGATTGGAAAACTATGTAAATGTTAACAAGTTAGTTTCTTGAGTTGATTTTATAGCCGTTTTCAAAATGGTGTACGCAGTTTATTTGTGATTGTATATTCGAATACCAATATTCGTCCATCTTTCGACCGGTTTCCTTTTTCTTTTATTCAATTTTAACTGCGTACATCATTTGAAAACGGCGATAAAAATATTAACAAACGAAGCGTTTTTTAGCACAATTTGCCACGCTAGAGGTTCTTCGATTATATTAGATAGATAGTAATAAGGCTGGGTCAATACTGTTGTTTTTTAAGCTTGTAACACGATTTTTAATATTGTATGAATTTTAAAACCTGTTACTTCCTTAGGAATCAATGTGATAAAGGAACTAACAAATAGGTTCAACTGGTGCTGCAAGCTTGTTATGGTGCCATTATTGAGTATTATACATATTATAGAGAGTATATATATTCTGTAATAAGTTAAAAAGTTAAAAAGTTAAAAAGTTTTTTTTTTTCATTTTTTTTTAAAAAAAAAGTTATTTATTTTCATAATTATCTGATTTATCTCATTACTAAGTTTTGCCTTTCTTCTGCCTCTCAGATCTGAATTTTATTTTTTAACATAACAAGAAACTAGAACGTTTTAAAAAATTGGATCCAACGATACGATAATTAAAACGAATAAATCACTATTAAAATAACTATAATAAATTATATAATTTTTCAGCTTTTTATGAATCCCTACAACGGGAACTGAAATAGTTTTTACGATATGATTAAATTCTTGTTTAATCCTTTTTTGTAAATATCTATTTTAACTGAATCTAATTTTTTTATTTTTATAAAAAAAATCTTTAAAAGAATAATAAGGGAGGAAAAGTTAGCCAATCAATCTTTTTACAGATCTCTGTTTATTTAAGATATGATCGATACGAGAGCCCCTTCTAGGAACTTATTGCGGAACTTCAGATTTAATTTTATATGAGGAAAAATAGCCAATGGCTCCAAAAGTTAACAGTCTCGCGCGCAATCATGTAGAACCGCAATTTTTTTTACGGTCTTGATGATCATGTAAACCAACAGAGGTTTTGTCTATATATTGCACATCAGTTATATACAGTTTAGTATTCAGTTATATGCAGTCTTAGTATGTTATGTAATTTAGAATTGGTAGAAAGTCTACGATACAAATTGACTTTCCTTTGTAAAATAAATAATGTATGGTTCAAATTACTAAAACATAACTTCAATTTATAAGTTATATCCTTGAAATTAAGTAATAAATGGAATGTACAAATTTACCTACACACTAAACTAAAAAAGTTAACCCTTATATAATCTCCTTTCGTTAAAAGAAATTTTTAGTATATTAATATCCCAGAACTATTTTAAAGGCATGTTAAATAGAATATTTTGAAGTTTTCTTCATTGGTTATATATTATTGGATGGGGGAGTAGCTATATCGGTCACAGGACTGAATGATTGGATAAAAATGGGCCACGTAGTGGTATTAATTTCATTTTTATGCTATTTTCAATCTACTTTACTAGGAAACGGTAACCGTTGGTGCGTCTGAAGCATCATAAATTACATGTTCATAAATTTAAACTGAACACTAAAAAATATAACACTAAAAATGCTAAAAAAAGTAATAGTATCACTAAAAAATGTCATTTTATTATCATACTTTCATACTTTGTACTATGTTGCAAATTTTTAATTTATTCTCATGATTGTCAAAAAAAAAAATAAAAAGTTAACATTTAATTAAAAAAAATACAAAATGTAAAAATTATGAGTAAAAACAAAATTAATTTATTACTTGAATGCCATAAAAAACTTTTAAGAAATAAGAAAATTTAAATCAGGGATAAAAAAATTTTTAAATTTAACGTATAAACAGTAGTCATGTGACTTTATAAAGATATTTTTAGAATCAGGGGACATAAACAAAAAGTGTTGTACACGTAAACAAATTTAAGGTTACACCTGATCCTTAAATTTTATTGGTCATACACGTGTGCGGAGTGCGGACAGACAACACTTGCTGACTTGCATGGTTTGGAGTAGTATGGAAGTGTCCTACGCTTACGCTTCGGACAATAAGCTTTATTTAAACTTTTCCTATAAAAATTTTCATTTGCACCATTTTATATATAATCATGCATTATTGTTATGCTTAATAAAAATATCGGTCTATGAAAATCTGCATGATCCTATTCGGAAACCAAATTTATTCCCCGAAATGAAAATAATCAAATTAATAATACACAAATAAGACGAATTTTTTTATTGGCCAGTTTATTAGGATATTTTTTGTTAACGGCTAAATATCAAATACTGTATATTTGCAATATAGACTATAAAATCAAACTTATATTTTTTTACATCTTACTATTTCAATTACCCGGATAATGCACCAATATCTATAAATATGTGTACAAAATTACTAGGGAGTTAGAGAGCAATTTCATACAAAGATCTTCAATATTTGTTTATTACTGACCAGGATAATACTAGTCTTAATTAGCAATAACATTGGGAAATTTTGTTTTGTTTTGGACTTTTTATTGTCATTCATATTTTTCAATTTATGAAGTAGTACGATTTAAAAAGAGTTTAATTTTTATATTATACCAAGTATATTGAATTTCATATACTGTATAAGACATTGTTTACTAATTTAAATAATGAGATTTTTTGTATCGTGAAACACTAAATCTACTACTCCTGAGTCATGAATAAGGGGACTTGCATGATTGCTGTGTAACGATACAAATAATATTAGTAATCAAAAATTATCTTTCACATTTATTACGCAATTCTCTTTTTTTTACGGCGAACATTGAAGTCGTACACTTATGCAATAAATATTTTTAAAAATACAATATGTACACCTTACCTTATTTAATTTATGAGATCAATTTAAAATTGGTTAATCGGCAATAAACAACCCCATTTTGTCACTCTTTGATGTTCGCTATTGTTTAAGCAATCATTCATAATTATTAGAGGTTGCATAAGAATGTCGTCAATCGCTTCAATTTTTTACCGTTTGTCCAATTAATGTCCAATGTGATAATTTGTTACAAATCCATTGATCAAATGTTTTAGATCTATTGTAAATGACAATGAATATGCTACCGTGTTCACATCGATTTTAAACTTAAGTAAAAAAAAGTATATATATTGTAAGTAATTCCTGGGAACTAAAAATCATCTTTTTGTTTTTTTAAAAAAAAAAATTATATCGCGTCATGGGTAACCCTTTAGATGATCTAAAACCAAACCTCAAGAAATGCTATTATTGCAAAAAACAAAATCCTTTAGAGGAAAGCCATGAAATTCGGCATAAATGTAGCTGTGACAGTTGTAGCAACAGAAAAGAACTTATTTTTATTTGTAATAAATGTTACAATGCAAAAACACAATTTACACCAAGTGGAAATGGAGTTATTGATGAATTTATAGTTGAAACATTAGATACAATGTATGGGGAAATGGAATTTGTTTCTTATGATAAATTCAAAGATTTAGAATTTATTGCCGAAGGAGGATTTAGTAAAGTCTATAAAGCAATTTGGGAGGATGGTCCAATAACCAGTTGGAATCGTGAAAAGTTTAAATATAATCGTCAAGCTAATAAGACAATAGCTCTCAAGGAACTTAATAATTCTAAAGACATTAACTCTAAAGAGTTAAATGAGGTACAGAATCTTATACTATTTGTTATTAAAAAATATAAATAATTAAATATATTTTTTTTTCATTTTAGATCAAGATATTTCATAGGTTGTGTAATTATACTATTTGGGAACATGATTACAATAAATACAAATACATTAATAAATATTATGGAATTACTCAACATCCTGAGTCCAAAAATTATATGATAATTATGAATTATTGTGAATCAGGAGATCTTACACATTATATAGCTAAAGATTTTTTTAATATAAAATGGTATAATAAGTTACACAAGTTATGTGATATTATATCTGGACTTAAAAAAATACACTACGCAGATATTATGCATCAAGATTATCATAGTGGAAATATCTTTTTGGAAGCAAGTAGGACTCCGATAATGGGAGATTTAGGATTAAGTAAATCTGCGATTGAATCAGCAGATGATGAGAATAATGAAGTTTATGGCATCATTCCTTATATTGCTCCAGAGATTTTTCAAGGACAAAAATATACTAAAGCGTCAGATGTATATAGTTTTGGTATGATTATGTGGGAATTAATGACAGGTAGAAGACCATTTTGGGATAGAAGTCATGATACAGATCTTATAATTGAAATATGTGACGGTCTTCGACCTCCGATTATCACAAACGCACCTGAAGGCTATATTAAATTAATGAAAAAATGTTGGAATTCTGATCCAACTAAAAGACCAACGGCTAGAAGTTTACATAGTAAAATTTATGCTGTGTTAGGAAAGGAATGGAAATATAGGTATAGTCCAACTGAAGTAATAGTATCACCAGATATTGGACCTATACCAACAATTAATCCAAATGCTATCTATAAAAGTAGACCTTTAAGTACAATGATAAAATCTGTAGAAAATACAATAAATACTAAAAAAATTGGTACGATTATTTTTATAATATGTTATTGATTTTACATTGTTACTAATGACTAATATAATCTTACATTTATTTTTTTTTAAAAAAAAAACAGATAAAAGGAAGTTTGATGAATTTTTCGAAAATAACGAAGAAAATGATGAGAATGGTAAAATAAAATTTTATTTTGTAATAATTTCATCATATGATAACTATATGTTAATTAACCATTTGTTTTTTTTTTAAAAAAAATATTATAGATAAAACCTCTAAAAAATTATGCGTATATGAAAACCATGGTAAGTATTTAAGTTTATTTGGAGATTATTTTTTTTTATTATAAAATATAATAATTCAATTAAATTTATATTGTTCTCTAGATTATTTGACAAAAGAATTTCGATTTAATATTGACAATAATGATATTGATAAAATTAATAAAATTGGTTATAATGGTAAGTAAATAGATATCGATTATCTAACAATGGCAATAGTAATTTTTAAACTTAATTTTATTCATAAATACAGGTTTATATATTACAAGAGAAATCGGATTTGATATTTGATTTTCAAAATTTGGGGTATGTCGTAACTTTGTATTCTACATGTAACATTAGTAATAAAAAAAAAAAATTATTTGTACAAAATAAAAAAAAAGGCATTTTTGTCATTTTGTCATTCTGTCATTTTAATAATCTGTATGATGACTGTAGTGTGCAGATCGCGACAATGTTAAAATCATTGTAATATTGTTAATCATTTTGCATCAGCAGATCAATCGGAGGTAAACAGAGATGATCCAGGTGGTTTAATTCAAAATTTAATCGCGTGGTTAAAAATTTGAGCCGCATATATGCATAATTAAATCAATTTTCAATATACGCTAATGAACGGTGTTTGCCGATGTATAGCATTGAAAAAAAAAAAAATTATATATATGTTCGTATGTTCTTAAATCTTACATTTTAATTTCACATCGTCGGACAGTCAATAAACTATAAATAACATTCAACCAACGAAAAAACGTATTTATGCCAAATCATAATTGAAGAAAAAAAAAATGTGTAAAGGGATCTGTCAATCAGAGAAATCACTATTTATACCACAAAGTGGAAATAAAGTTGTTGATGATTTTATAAGATCCACACTAACAGATCGACAAAGGAAAATGGAATTTGTTCCTTATGATAGATTTAAAGATACAAAATTGATTGCAGAAGGTGGATTTAGTAAAATTTATAATACCACTTGGATTGATGGTCCAATAAGTGATTGGGATGACAAAATAAAAATGTATAAACGCCTTGGTGAAACGATAGTCGTTCTTAAAGAACTTAACAACTCTAAAAATGCCACTCCTAAAGATTTAAATGAGGTACAGTAGATCATATCATGCTAGTTTGTTTATAAATCTTAATATTAAAATAATATTTTTTATTTTCAATAGCTCAATATATTTCATAGCCTTATGAGCTTAAATAGCTTATTAAAAAAAGATGAAGACAAATATATTAATACTTATTATGGAATCACACAACATCCTATTACTCAAAATTTTATGATAATTATGGAATATCATAAATTAGGAGATCTAACACATTATATAGCCAAAAACTTTTTTAATATTAGTTGGTATGACAAGTTAATTATATTATATAACATTATATATGGACTTAAAAATATTCATGATGCAAATATTATTCATAAAGACTATCATAGTGGAAATATTTTTCTAGATAAAAATACTTATTCTGAAGATATTTTTATAAAGAAAATAAAGAAAGATGAAAGTAATATTAAAGCAATAACAGGTGATTTAGGATTAAGTGCCATTGAACCATCAGATGATGATGAGGTATATGGAATCATTCCTTTTGTTGCTCCAGAAATTTATCAAGGAGCGAAATATACTAGAGCGTCAGATATATATAGCTTTGGTATGGTTATGTGGGAATTAATGACAGGTAGAAGACCATTTTGGGATAGAAGTCATGATGTATATCTTATAATTGAAATATGTGACGGTCGTCGTCCTCCGATTATCACAAACGCGCCTGAAGGTTATACTGAATTAATGAAAAAATGTTGGCATTCTGATCCAACTAAAAGACCGACGGCTAAAAGGTTATATCGTAAAATTCGTGCTATTTTAAGAAAGGAATGGAAATGTAGACATAATCCAACTAAAATAATAGAATCCCCAAATATTGGACCTATAACAAAAATTAATCCAAATGCTATCTATAAAAGTAGACCTTTGAGTACGATGGTAAGATCTGCAGAAAATACAATAAATATTAAAAAAATTGGTACTGATTATTTTCATAATAATATGTTATGATTTTATATTGTTGCTAATAACTAATAATCTTGTATTTTTATTTTAAAAAAAAAAGATAAAAGAAAATTTGATGAATTTATTGAAAATAATGAAGAAAATGAGTATGGTAAAATAAAAATTTTATTTTGTAATAATTTCATCATATGATAATTATATGTTAATTTTGTATTGTTCTCTATTAGGTTATTTGACAAAAGAATTTCAATTTGATATTTACATTAATAAAATTAATAATAATAATGGTAAGTAAATAGATATTGATTATCTAACAATAGCAATAATTTTCAACACAAATTTTTTATTCATAAATATAGATTTTTATATTTCAAGAGAAATCAAATTTGATATTTAATTTTCAAAATTTGGGGGTATGTTTTAATATTTTTTAAAAAAAGGACTTTTGTTTACATTTAAATTTATTAATAATAAAAAAAAAAAATTTACAGTACATAAAATCTAATTTAAAAGTCATTTCATTGCGTTGTGTAAAAAATATAAAAGGTTGGTCATTTTTTTGTCATTTGTCATTGCATGATTGTAGATCGACAACATTAAAAATCATTGTAATATTTGCCATTGTAAATCATTGTAAGGCCATCAGCAGATCAGTCGGAAGTAAACAAGGGAGATGATCTCAAAGATGACAATTCGTCATTGTTTAAATTGTATTTTAATTTAAGCATATATGCATAAACAAATCAATTTTTAATATACGCTAGTGATCATGAGCGGTATCTGCCGATTGTTAGTGTTGGAAAAAAAAAGTATGTACAGTATATATATTGTACTCAAATGGTACGCTCTTAAAATCTTAAATTTGATTTCGCAGTGTCGAACGATAAATAAACTATAAATGATATCTAATAATACTCAACCAACGAATAAGTCTAAGCCAAATTATAATCGAAGAAAGAACAAAATATGTAATAAAGAGATTTGTCAATCAGAGAAATCACCATCTACACCACAAAGTGGAAATAAAATTGTTGATGATTTTATAAGATCCACACTAAAAGATCGACAAAGGAAAATGGAATATGTTCCTTATGATAGATTCAAAGATACAAAATTGATTGCAGAAGGTGGATTTAGTAAAATTTATAATACCACTTGGATTGATGGCCCAATAAGTGATTGGGATGACGAAATAAAAATATATAAACGCTTTGGTGAAACGATTATCGTTCTTAAAGAGCTTAACAACTCTAAAGACGTCACTCCTAAAGATTTAAATGAGGTACAGTAGATCATATCATGCTAGTTTGTCTATAAATCTTAATATTAAAATAATATTTTTTATTTTCAATAGCTCAATATATTTCATAGCCTTATGAGCTTAAATAGCTTATTAAAAAAAGATGAAGACAAATATATTAATACTTATTATGGAATCACACAACATCCTATTACTCAAAATTTTATGATAATTATGGAATATCATAAATTAGGAGATCTAACACATTATATAGCTAGAAATTTTTTTGATATTAACTGGTACAATAAATTAAATATATTACGAAATATTATATATGGACTTAAAAATATTCATGATGCAAATATTATTCATAAAGATTATCATAGTGGAAATATTTTTTTAGATAAAAGTACTTATCATGGAAATATTTTTATAAAGAAAGATGATCATTGTACAAGTAATATTAAAGCGATAACGGGTGATTTAGGATTAAGTGCCATTGAACAATCAGATAGTGATGATGATGAGATATATGGAATCATTCCTTTTGTTGCTCCAGAGATTTTTCAAGGACAAAAATATACTAAAGCTTCAGATATATATAGTTTTGGTATGATTATGTGGGAATTAATGACAGGTAGAAGACCATTTTGGAATCAAAATCAAGATATACAACTTATCATTGAAATATGTGATGGTCTTCGTCCCCCAACTGTTACAGATGTACCTAAAGGTTATACTGAATTAATGAAAAAATGTTGGAATTCTGATCCAAAGAAACGACCAAAGGCTGACGAAATGTCCGATGAAATTGAAACTATTAGGAGTAATGAATCTAAGAGAAATAATTCAACTAAAATTATAAAATCATCTGATATTGGACCTAAAACAACAAATAATCCAGATGAAGTCTATGAAAGTAGATATTTAAGTACAATTATAAAATCTGTAGACACTACAAGAAGCTCAAGAACTGTCTTAAATAGTAAGTAAAATGATATAATGCATTATTTTATGTTTTATATAAATAATCTTGCTTATATATATCTATATTTTTTTTTAAAAAAAAAGAAAAAAGAAAGTTTGATGATAACCTTTCAGAAGGTAATTAACAAGAACCGTATAATAAAAAAAAATCGGAATATTGAGTTATTACCGATCCTTATAATTAATTATTAAAATAATATTATAGATAAGATTGCAAAAAGAATTAAAATATTTGAACATGAATATGATGGTAAATATCTATCTTTTGAGAATACATTTGTTTTATTTTAAATAAATAATTTAATAAAATCTATATTTTTTTCTTTAGGATATATCACAATGGAGATCGAATTTGATATTGACATTAATATTAATTAGAATTTAATTTAAAAATGTTACCTTTATGTGCCGAAGAATTTAAAGATTCTACCTTGGCCAAATAGGTAATAGCGAATAAGGAGTGTTAATATTCAGAGTTAAATTAATGATGAAGACGAAAAAATATGTTGGCTTAGTAAACGAAAACAATGAGAACATCGTTTAAACGATGTAATATTCCGATACTATCAAAAAGCTTGAAGAAAAAGCTTGAAGAGTAAAAAAAAGCTCCAAAATTCAAGAATCATAATAATTTAACGAATGCAGATCTAATACTGAAAGAAGCCAGATTTCTTATCTTATTATATGTAATATTAGTACATGTTATCGTTGTGAAAAATCATAACAAATGAAAATAAAAAATTCAGCCCGATCGAGAAAAAGTAGGGTCGTAGGGCTGAAACTAAATAATTTATTTGTTAATGATATAAATTGGATAGCAATAGACGTGGCGTGCATTAAATTGTATGTGCGCTTATTGTTATTTACTTTTGCATATTAGTGCGCATATGATTGTACAAAGGTATTTTACATTTACAAATTTTATATTATCGATTTCTGGTTTAATTATTATTTAATTTAATCATTTTTAGAAATCATTACAAAGCGATATGTTTGTTTAATGACGATCTCTTTCAAAAAAATGATTAGCATGCATACATGCATAAAACAATGGTAAAATAAATGATTACAAATCGTAAACAAATTAGCGTGTCCGAATTGTTATTTAGGGGTAATTTGAAAATAAAATAGGTCCAAAAATAGAAAAATTTCTGTAAGGACAGTAAACTTTTTAATTATATAATTATGTAATAATTTGAATGAATAGACAATATTGGTTTAGTACACATCAGAAAGAGCTTTGTTTAGAATCATTAAAAATTATTAAAACTTGATTAACACGATTTTTAAATTATATCTAATGTGAATTTAATATTTTTAGCTATTTTGTGACCCAATTTACTTTGTAAAAATAGCCCAAGTTCTATATTTTGTAAATACAAAAAATTTTTTTTTTTTTTCATGAGATTGAAGAAATGTGGGGTAACATTATTAATGCCATCCAATTCATTAAATCATTGTTACCGGATCTAAATTAGATTTTCGAACCATGATTTTAGAGTTTGTCTATTTATAGAAAGTTTATGTATTAAAACATCATCATAATTAACTCACTTGAACATAGGAAAAAAGTATATATAATTTATAAAGACTAACCTTCATTTTTTTAAAAAAATAAATAAATATTACAAAATGGAAACCTTACCAGCAGAAAATGTTACGTTTATACTGCCTTTTAGTAATGAACTTCACACATGTAATAATAAAGTTATTGACGAATTTATAAAATATACACATTCAAATATGAACGGTAAAATGGAATTTGTTCCCTATGACAAATTTAAAGATATAAAATTCATTACCGAAGGAGGATTTAGTAAAATTTATAAAGCTATTTGGGTTGACGGACCACGCGATTGGAGTGCTCCACCACCTTATCGTAGTGGTAAGATGACAGTCGCACTTAAGGAGCTTAGTAATTCTAGTAACATCAATTCTAAAGAACTAAATGAGGTGCGTATTTATTATCTTGTATTACAAGTCTTAATTTAAGATAAATTAATATTTAATACCTCATTTGTTTAGCTAATGATATTTTATAATTATGCTACAAATAATAAAAATAAAAAAGGCTACACATATCACGATCACTTTCATTATATTAATAAATATTTTGGAATTACTCAAAATCCTATTACCCAAAATTTTATGATAATTACAAAATATTATGAATCGGGAGACCTAAGGAATCATATAACTAATGATTTTTATAATATTAGTTGGTTTAGAAAGTTAATTAAATTACAATACATTTTAAACGGGCTTAAAAATATGCATGAAGCAAATATTATTCATCGAGATTATCATAGTGGAAACATCTTGGTGGCAACAGGTGAAACTCCGATAACAAGCGATTTAGGAATAAGTAAATCTGCGACTGAACCATTAAATGATGATGAAGAAGAAATTTATGGCATTATTCCTTATGTTGCTCCAGAGATTTTTCAAGGACGAAAATATACTAAAGCATCAGATATTTATAGTTTTGGTATGATTATGTGGGAATTAATGACGGGTAGAAGACCTTTTTGGGATAAAGTTCATGATTCAGAACTTATTATTGAAATTTGTTATGGTCTTCGTCCTCCAATTATTACAAATGCGCCCGAAGGCTATACTGAATTAATGAAAGAATGCTGGCATTCCGAACCAGATAAAAGACCAACGGCCAATAATTTACTATCAAAGGTTAAAATTATGTTTGATAATGAAATTAAAAATATTCTTTATTGTAAAAATCCAACTAAAATCATAGAATCACCAGATATTGGACCTGTCACAACTAATAATCCGGGTGCTATCTATAAAAGTAGACCTTTAAGTGAAATGATAAAATCTGCAGCATCTACAATAAATTTAAAAAGTCTAAATATCACTTTAGAAATTGGTAACATATCTTTTTTTTTTTTATGATAATCGGTATCAATTATATGGTTTATTACAGTATTACTAATAAGGTCTTTTTTTTTTTAAGACAAAAGTTTTTTTAAAATAAAAGACAAAAGAAAGTTCGGTGATTTAACCGAAGATTATGATGAGAATGGTACATTTTTTTCTAAGATAATTAATTTCATAATCTATATAATTAATTATTTTGTTATATTTGTTAAAATAACATAATAGATAAAATCATTAAAAAAGCTAAATTTTTTGAAAATAATGGTAAATCTTTTATTTTATTATAAAATTAATATGCTGTATGATATTTAATTTAAATTCATGTTTTTTACTAGGTTATTCAACTATTGAACTGGTATTCGATATTGATAATAATAATCGTAAGTAAATAATAATCATAATAATCATAATAATCTTTACGATTAATAACGATCTTTTTAATCAATTTAACACTTAATTTATTAATAATATATAGATTGTATTACAGTATTTTAATATTTTTAAAATGGTTTATATATATATATGTATGTATAAATTGTATATAAAATAAAAGTAAATATTTAATTTTAATATAATTTAAACAAAAATAAAAAATTTTAAAAAAATTTTTTAAATTATCACAAATTAGACGTCACGAAATTTTTGTAAAATTCTAATTCGTTATTGTCAGTATTAACGTAAAATGACTCTCGTTATGGAAAATTATATGTTGTATCTGTAATATGTAAAAAGAAATTGTACAATATAAAACCCTTTATTAAATTAAATACATATGATCAGTATATTATGTAAATCTTGAGTATATAAATTACTGAATTCGAATACATAATGGAATGTTTATACTATAAAAAGATTATTTGTCATTGATACCATCGGAAAATAATTGTCATTTGACTTGTCGGACAAGCGCACGTCCTCTTTTAAGCACATCAAAGTTTAAATATAATAGGAATAGTTCTTCACAATAAAAATATATATAGTAAAATAAATCATTGAAAAATTTAAATGAAATATCGTTTTTGGAATTTGTTGTGTTTTATAATTTATTAATATGACAATATGTAATTTTTTTCCGGATTATTTTGACAAGTAGAGCTCACCTTAATATTTTATATGTATATATCATAATAATTTTGATTTGCCTAGTCATGTGACTACCTTTGTTATTGCTTCCATAAATGTAAGCATTATAAAAAAAAATTAGTCGTAACACATTGAATATTTACGGAGTCATAAACAAAAAATTACGGAGATATAATTAAAATACAATGAAATATCTCAGATTGGAATTTTTTATACAAAATTAAATATAATAAAGTACTAACTTAAAATGATAATTCTTTATGGTGAATTAATAATTAAAAAAAATTCGGTATAAGCATTCCCATTTCTTTACTATGAGATAAACCTGTTTGATATACTGGTTATGCACATAGGACTGATAGGGAGTGCATATTACTGTAATACTTACTCAAAGTGATGATAGGCACATATAGTTTATCCCTTTATTGGGTTAATTACAATACAATGATTAAAAAATAGAACTTTCCCGCGAACATTATTATGAAATTCTTAAGAATTCGGAATTCTTTTTTTCTGAACATCAGTTTTATAAACAATAAAATTCTGAAATAGATATTCAATCAAACCAAAAAAATTGGAAATAATTGTCATTTAATTTGTTGAACAAAATGAAAAAGAATGAAAGCAGATCTCTTTTTATGTAGTATACTGCTTAATTGAGCGACATGTTCTTTGTAAACTAAATTTTAGAATATTCTTTTAATCTAACATTTGGATCGATTTCACTTTATGATACAAATCCTGTGTAACTTTATTATGGAATATTTTTAAGTATCCTAAACGAATTCTATAGCAATTGTTAAAAAAGTATATATACATGAGAATATCCAGATAAAATTATAAAATTTCCTCCCAAAAAAAATAATTAATATATTTAAACAAAATGTCCGATTTTATAATTCCAAATAATATAACTTTACCAACATTTATGAATTTCGATTTTCAAAGATGCGGACATAAAGTTATTGATGAATTTATAAGTTACACACATTCAAAAAAATATGGTAAAATGGAATTTGTTCCCTATAACAAATTTAAAGATATAACATTCATTCATGAAGGAGGATTTAGTAAAATTTATAAAGCTACTTGGAATGAAGGCCCACGTGATTGGCGTGCTCCTTCACCTTATCGTAGTGGTAAAATGACTGTCGCTCTTAAAGAGCTTAATGATTCTTATAACATTAACTCTGGAGAATTAGAAGAGGTAAAGTATTTATAATAAAATTTAAACAATATAATAATAATAAATCATGAATAATTTATATATTTTATATATTTAAAATATTTAATTTTTTTTTTTTAGCTATATAATTATTCTATAAAAAGTATAAGTGAAGCAGGTTACGCATATTATGATCACTTTAATTACATTAGTAAATATTTTGGTTTTACTCAGAATCCTATTACTAATAA